AGGGATTTGTAGGAGGATCGTGGGTTTTGCATCGTTCTCGCTGCTCATCTGGGCTTCTGTTGCGATGAGGGCACTGCCTTTGTCTGCGCCATGTTGATCAGATCCAATCTTGTGAGCTGCGATTCCTTGGACGACGATCCCGTTGAGCCTCTGCCAAGCAGGCAGGGATTCGATCGGGATGTACTCGCGCTTCATTGTGAAGTGAGTTGGAGGTTGGCATTTGTCCGCTTAAAATGTCGCGTCGATGACGATCGTTGTCTTATCGATAAGCTCGGCCCCGAGCTCGACCGGTCCCCTCTTACCCTTTTTGGACACAATCGAATTGCAGCATACGAACGTCATATTACCGAGTAGATAATCATACCTACATGTAGGTAAAATTAAACGCTCTAGCTTTTCAGTTATCTACAATAACTCGCAATTCCCTATGCGCAATCATTGTATCTATTCTGCCACGCCCATGCTGCACAGCATGTCTGTTCCACGACAACCTTGGCGGGTCATCCTACCGTTACAGTCCGCCATACACCCGCAAGTTCTCCGTGCGCCACTTGGCATCCGCCAGTACTCCATTTTCGAGGATTGGAAGGGGAGTTCAGCGGAGGAACACACACGCAAGCGGGCTCAAAAGGGCGATGCAGAGGATGTACATTCAGAGGCAGCGGCCACTGGGTTGAGAGAAAGGAAAACAAACCAGGGTCTCGCAGATGAGACCAAGTCACATGGAACTACGGAGAGGGGTGGGACCAAGTATGGAAAGAAAGCTAGAGAGGAGTATCCCAAAGCGCCAGAGCCGGTCATTGGCATGAATGACGAACGGCCAAAGGTCAGTTCATATGCATGGTGAGGGAGTTCATTTCATCTTGCTGACTGCATCCCAATATTTGCAGAAGGGCAGTTGAAGTCAGGTATCTTGTGGTGTACTATGGCGTTGTTCGAGCTCGACGCATTTACTGTCGAGACCCCAAATTTTGTAATAATAGTGAATCGGAGTAGAGAACAAGGTCATAAGACATTTCCATTACTAATGTCATATCATCCATTGGGAGAGGCTGTACATAAACGGACTGGTCTACCGACCAACCTTGAACGATAGGATCTGCAATGGTAATCAGTCAATGAACCGTTGTATAGATTAGCGGGCGTCACTTACATCGTGTTTCCCAACTGCCACAATGTCATCCTCGGAGACTCGAGTTCCACCCACTCCTTCGACATAGTTGATAGGTACGTCACCCATCACCTTCCGAGCAACATCGCCAACAGTACTGTTTCTGTGGGATGTTAGATAGGATATATCGGCCTCGAAATAGGAATTACTCACTTATTGACCAAAACACAGTCGCGGAATACAGCAGTTCCTGCGCCAGAGTTGAACGTCGCCACGTTCCGGACGGGGAACACTGGTACGAGACCTAGAAGCTCTGCGGCCCGGGAAAGACATTGGACGACTCCGGTAGATCCAAATCGATACAGCACCATGTCTTTCATGTTCTCAACCCGACTGGAGCGAAGTCGTTAGCAAGGTTACAAACTTCCCATGGGCACTGAACATACGTTTTCAATTTTTCATCCATCTCTTTGAGGCCTCCTCCATCTGGGTCGCCCATCTCGATCAAATCTTCTCGTGTATCGACAAACTCACTGCCTTCGACGTACTTGATGTACTCCTGCTTTGCCAGCTTTCGGAGGAAGACCTCAGATATAGCGGAGCAAAGCACAATGCTTTGGGGATCTTGCATTTTCGCAATTTTGCTAATGTTCTGCAATTTCTGTCAGAACAATGTAAGGGTTACCAGATAGATCCTCGTACCTTGTCGGCGTCCGGGTGGTCGATCTTGTTCAACGCGAACACTGTGGGGAATTTCTCATCGATAAAAGCATTAACAACAAGCTCTACTGTCTCATTTGACCAATCTTCCAATGGCTCTTTTAAGGCAAGTTTATCCATAAATCGCGCAACGGTAGCGTAGGTACTTCCATAACCGGCAAACTGTTTCTGCAATGTGTCGACGGGGTTTGCCTCTGTGTTAAGAATCAGTTATGTGTCATCATAAATAACGTTGCAAAATTTCACTGACTCAAGGCCTGATGTCTCCTTTTGATTGACCCCCTAAGGATAGATCAGTACTTGTCCCTCGTTTCGTTGTTGGCACTTGTAAACGTACCACCTCTCCATCAGGTTTCCTAGCACCCATCGCACGATCTCTGATCGCAACCACTCAATGTCTACTGATGGATCATATCCTCGAGTGGCCTTTCCTGTAGATATTTATCAACACCCACTTCGCGCCATTGTATCCAATCCGGCACACCCAACTAACCTTCAGCGTCCGTGGTCCCGCTCACATCCACGACGTGAATCAGAGCATCGGCGTGACGCAGATCATCCAAGAACTTGTTACCTAGCCCGCGACCCTGATGCGCGCCTGGCACAAGACCTGCGACATCTAGCAACTCAATCGGCACGGACCGCCGCCCTTCGTGGCAGCCTCCATAATTGGGCTGGCACCGGTCTGAAACATTGTGTCGCATGCATGGGCAATCGATCTGAAGGTATCCGATGGCTCGCTGGGGGTCAATGGTTGTGAAGCTGTCGGGTGTCAACACGGCCTGCGCGATCAACTGCGATAAGGTGGAGATGCTCGTGTAGAACAAACGGGGCGCACATACGGGAAATTTCCTGCTCAGAGCATGATTGATTAGGTTTCCGTGATTGATCGTAACTGCATTCCAGTTCACTTACCAACTTTCGAAGTCGCATCGGTCAAACTGTTCAATGTGGTGGATTTTCCACTAGACGGCTGTATGCCCCTCACACCTGCGGTCAGTGGGGTGGTGGAACATTGGAGGGGAACGACATACCTTTCCCACCAGTCCGATCAGCGGATCTCGAGGCATATTGAAGAGTGGATGTGTGGAAAAGCAAAAGATCCTCAGAATAACACAATGACCAGATTCACCAAGTCTCCACAGCCCTCGGAGTTGGCCTTCGATAAGAAACATTTTCTGCCGTGTCAAAATGGAAGGCGGTGTTATCAATGGCCGGCATGCTATTATGCCGCTTTAGGACGCCGACTACTCTAACTCGTTGAAGCCTTTAGTTACTATGGAATTGTCTATTTTCGCGCCTGGAGATCATTTAAGGACCGATTGTGGATTGCAATTGAGGGGATGGTTGTCAATATTTCACAGTGAAACACTATAAGCAACCGTTGTATATCCAATCGGTCCATGAATCTCCGCCATCCAGTTCAAGATATCCATTGACTCCTCGACAGGCCTCGAGTAATATTGGGATATGCATAGCGTCTTTTCATGAAAGTAAATGAGCGAGTTTGCCACATTAGGTGGTCCATCAGCTATGACGCCAATCCCCATGTTTTAACCAGTTAACTATTATCTTGTTGACCCTACAGCTTGGAATCTCCAATAGAAACTAACCCCCCAAGATGAAGCAGGGCCCAGCTGGTTCTGGAGGAGAGAATATCCATGGCCCTGAATGCCATGTCGTCATTGTAGCAAACGTCACAGCGTCTTGCCATCGACATAGAATATGGTACCTAGATATATAAACCCTCTTTTACTCGGTCAATTCTGCCACTTCACCACCTTCATAACCAAAATACAAAATGACTGACGCTACTTTTCACACCACCATTCAGGACCTTCGCAGGGCCGAGTCCAAGCTTTCCTTGTTGCATGGTGGCAACCCCCCGGCGGACTCAAATGTCTCTAGAATGAAGGCGAGTTATCTACAACGCAACACGAAGTAGAAAGCAGACCACTAACTTGTTGTCTATAGTCCATCATCGACCAAAACACCAACAAGCCCGCACAGATTGACAAGATCAAGGCCAGCCTGCCTCTACCGGATCAACCTCCAGTCGCCAGCGACTGGAATTCTCTCGATCAGCGTATTACTGGCATTGGCTCCGGACGTGTTGAGTTCCCTCCTGACAACAGTGGCCTACGTGGAGCCCCGGCTGCCGGCAGTAGTTCCGAAGAACTTGGACTCTAGAGTATTGAGGGACTGTATCATCTTCCCTTTCGATGCTACAACCGGTTAATTGAGTATATGAACACGATGATTCAATATGTGTACAATACTCATTTTTGTTAAATCATTACGAGCGAATGAGTGAATTTCAGAATTTCTTCCTGATTGATCTGTGTAGTTAGTTAATCATAATGTAGTTTTGAAAGTTCACCGCCATATTCTTTGTTTTATGAAGCACCGTTGAAAAGTGCAGATCTGGAGGTGGCTATGATTCTATATAAAACAAGAATAGACGGTCCCTTGTGTCCTTTTAGTAGTCTTCTCAGATATTCTTTTCATTCAACAATAAATGTCAAAAAGTAGTTTCGAATGACAATATGTACGCCAACTCCTTTACTTTCTAGCGTACCTTAACCACAATATTAATTTCTAATCGGAAGAATCGAAGGTATACACGCACAGTGAAAATAGGGAAGTTTGAATTGTTTGCATTTCATTGCCTAGACCTGACGTCAATTGCCTCTTGCATCGCCAACTTTTGATCTGGAGATGAATTTCAAGACAGGATCCTGGATATGTGGGGCATATGTTTCCCCTTTTGATGCCTTCGAGAAGTATGAATACATCAGAAGGGAGCCTGTGTTCCACACCCTCCGTTCTATCGGTTTCTCCAGCCACCAAACAGAGCGACCCAAGTATAACTAGTTAACCTGACGGCGACCAGCTGGCAAAATTCCAAGGTTAAACCTGTATATATCTTTTATAAACCCTACTGGTCAGCGTAAGTATGACATCAAAGCTCTTTGGTACACGATCAGTTTCTATGAGAACACCAGATACTTCCAACATGCGGTTCGATTATAGCCCACTGCGTTCCTATATAGATCTGCCACCACCACCCATCTATCATTCAATTATCCCCCATCTCTCTTCTTTCTTCTACTACATATATCTTCAATAACTCAAATCTACCTCTTATTACTTTTTCCATCATATAATCATGGATATTCAAGGCACCCCTCTTCCTCACACCAGCCGCGGCACCAAGGTCACCAACGACCCTCGCTCACAACAGCGCATCAAAGAACCGTCGGGCCCTGTTACCAACGACTCGCTTGCCGCTGAGTCTGTCTGCCAAGGTGGTGGCTTCTCTGGCAACCGTGGCGCAGAGGCCATGGGCGTCTCAGGAAACCAATCCACAGTAAAGAACAGCAACACCTCCGCCTCCATTAAACTTCCCTCTACCCCAGCTGGCTACCAGCGTCACGACCGTCATGAGGAACAGAAGTACCCCGAATGTGTGGTTGGCCAGGGCAAGTTCCCTGGCACACATCTAGACAACTCTGGCTACTCCGGTGGCTCAACTGCGGCCAAGAAGGAAATGGGCATCAAAGCTGGGGAATACTCTTCTGCCAGCGGCAGTAGTGGTCACAGTCAGCAGAATGATGTGGCCAGAATCCAAAAGGGTGGCTTCCCCTCCGATAATGCTAAGAATGTTAGCTTCAACTCGGAACTGGGCTCCAGCCAGGACCCTGCCCGTGAATCTATCAACCAGTTCCAGCGCAGCAACGCCGGTTCTGCTTATAGTTCTGGTCATCCCGAACAGAAGCGTGTGGATGATCGAAATCAATACGACCAATTGGAGAGTGACCAGCGCGCTTAAGTCTCCCTGGTTTGAGATCTGGCCCATTGTTTTTCATCTTTTTGTTAGAAGAATGCGAGTGAGCAAGCGTGCTTTGATTGGACTTGGCATAGGCTGAGGTTACGATGAACTATGGGCTGATGATTGCATACATTTATGTACAATAGCAGCTAAAAAATACATATCGTTACAAATTTATTTTTGACCTTTTACTCCGTATCAATCTCTTGGGCTCACTTCCTTCGACATTCTCACCCCATTGTGTGCGTCGTTCACGATCTTTTCTTTTTAAAAATTTCCAGCCTAGTAGGAGTGCGTTGTCAAAAATAAACACCTAATATATAATTGCCAACTTCAATGGACCACGGAAGAAAAATAAGATTTGATTGATCAACAATTGTATAGATGGGATATATATATTCCAGGCTATCAAAACATGCGATAGTCATCCTCATCAGATTCCGAACCCGAGTCCGACTCATAGTCACTATAAACAGACTCTAGGAACTCATACTCATGTTCCCCCACGGAGTGTGGCCGGGTGCTTTCCGAAGGAGCAATGACGATTCTCAAGGGGATCTTCATTGTCTCATCTGCATCCTCATTCCGCTCCTCACTATCCATAACCTGATCACTTTCCCTAACCAAGGCCTGTCCTCTCCGTCTCCAAAGATAATTCCCCAATTCAAGCAACCCAATGGTGAAAATAGAAACCCAAACCATTACCAGGAGAATAATCACCGTTGGAAAAACTCCCGGAAGAGGATAGTGCCACAACGTCAAAGTTTTCGATCTCAAAGTCGGCAGGGAGAAGCGATATGTAAAGAAAGAGGACGAATAGCCCAATGAAGAATAGGAGGAAGATGCAAGTGTGGTGTGTTTGTGGTCATTGTTCAAGGTATTTTTCGTGTGCAGGTATTGTAGAATATCACTGTAGTCGCCGTGTCTCTGGGGAGCGAGTGCATCAATTGAGCTCTCCTTGTTTTCTGTGTAGTGGTGTTCCTGTTCTCCCGTATGTTGGTTGTAGGGCTTGTGCATGTGCTCAGGTCTTTCTGGGGATGCTGGGATCAGGATTGAGACTGTTGGTTTCCCCGACTCGGAAGTTCCTGTTGCATAACGATTATTTGGTGTGTCTTGCTCTGTTGGTTCGTGTTCTTGGTTGGTTGGCCATGCTGTGTTCTATCGGGGGATATAGGTAAGTCGCCGAGTCGACAATATAGTACGATATGATACAGTACATACCCCGTTGTATTTGACGTGCGGCGGGTCAGGTAATTGATCCAATCCTTCTTTCTCAAAGATCTTCCATATCCCACGGGCATTAGGGTCTTGGAATTGTTCTGTCTTGACCCATTTGCTGGTTTGGATAGGGTGGGATGTAGTCGATTGAGTAACAGCCAAAATCAGTGCAAGGGTTAAAGTGGAGGGGCGATTGATATGCATTGCCGGGGCTGTAAAGAGGGAATTGGCTAGTCTGATGGCCTATATATGCAGAAAGAATGAATTGTCCGACGAAAAACGAGGGCATTGAGTTCCTTATATCATTTTTAAGGACAGGGGAGATATATACCGCAAGGGCCGTGCCTTGAACACAAGGAAGAAGCTGTGTAGGACAGAGGAAAACCCCTCTCAGATTCGGTGCCCAATATTAAATCTGCTCCTGGATCTAGGCTAGTGCTAGAGGATCTGTGAGCTTAGGATATGATTCCTTCAGGGCGCCATGCCTGGTGATTGGCTACATTGACATGTGCTGGGCTTGGGATATGCACTTTATCCCTTGTTTAACGCCAAGGGCGAGGGGCCTAGGGATTGATCATATTGATCGGCCTCAACTCAGAACGCCACGGTAATAGTTTATCCTGCGATGCAAGGCTAATTGTCCAAAATTGACTCTTCATACTATATGTACTCCGTATGATATCCATGATTCATCGCCGTGTTGACCCCACCATCTATTCCGTACAATTCTTGAGTTCGCTACGGCGTGTGACTGATTCCATCCGCGAGAATTTAGGGTTGACTGTCTTGGACTGAGGACACTATTGAATATTGGAGGGGCTCGAGACCAATTTCATATGCCAGCTGTTGTTCTACCGCACAAGGGGATTATACAGGCAGACTTTTGGAGAATATCAACTCCTACAGCAATCAGGCACAACGTGGTTTATGCAGGTGTCACACTGTGGGGCAGTGCAATGAGTAAGATTTGCATGGGATGTCCATTAAAATTAACCGAGACCTTACTTAGAACCGAATCTATGAGGTTGGTGATATCTCACTGGAATTCTTGCCTTTTTCGTACACCATTGAAATAACGCCGAGTTGGAACAAAAGAGCAAATATAGAAAGATACCCATAGGCCGGACCCCATAAGACATGCACCGTCTGAACAGACGGTATCAGAAACCTGTACAACCAGAGAACCCACTCGCAGTGAACAGCGTGGGAAGAGCAAATAACGAAAGGTAAATCAGACAAGTCGAGAACATTTTTAGACTGTCAGCTTCTTCATCTCCTTCTGGGTCAAGCCAGCAAGCTCCTCGAACACCTTGGTGAACTCCTCATCATCCTCCTTCTTGCCCTTGGCAGCCTTGGGGGTAACCATGACCACACTGGTGGGGCGCTTGGTGGCAGCGGAAGCACCGAGCTCAGCGCGGGAGGTGACAAAGACGTAGGGAATGCCGTGGTCCTCGCACAGGACGGGAATGTGGGAGATAACATCCATGGGGGAGATATCGGCAGCGAGAATGACAACACCGCTGGGGACACCGATGGGAGCGTTGGCGGCGGGGATGGCAGACTTGCGGAGAGCCTTGACGACCTCCTTGACACCACGCTTGAGAGACTTGTTGACGGCAGCTAGAAGTCAAAATGTCAGCATGGATGATCTGAAGATAAGAGAAAAAAAGTTGCGCAACGATGCGATCAGTACACATGGGCGATCCGAGGATCCGATAAAAATCGACCATGTGCACTGATAGTAAAAAGAGTGAAGGAAAAATTGATAAGACATTGCACGTACCCTTCTTGACACTCTTCAGGACCTTCTTGGCCTGCTTGTCCTCAACCAATGGGTTGGCGAACGGCACGAGGGCGCCAACGGGGCGGTCGACAGCATCGACCTCAGTCTCGCCCTTGACAGCGACAGCGCTGGTCTGCTCGAGACCCTCCATGGCCTCAGTATCAATCTCCTTCTCTACTGCATCGACAAGAGCAGTCTTATCCTTCTTCTCCTTCTTCTCCTTCTTGACCTTGTGCACACCGTCCTTCTCCGCACGCTTCTCCTTCTTCTCAGCGCGGTCCTTCTTCTCGACCTTGTCCTTGCCCATAGTGACGGTTGTGGGGAATTAAGCGGAAGAAATTGAGTAAAATCGAACGAGAGACCGAGGTGGATGGAGACGAGTCACGGGTGAGGGTGGTGAACTGAGAATTCGATGCCGAAATCGAAATAATTTTTAAAATGGCGCTAACCCGCTTTGAGCGCAGTTTATTGCTGACATAATCCTAAACAAGGCGGCGCCCGCCTTTAACCATCTTCCCTTTGATAGCTCCAGGACAAGTTGCGCAGTGCTTCTTGCCTAATGCCCCTTTAGACAGGAATTTCCGTGGGGTATACGATACCCTGAACCTCACAGTAAGCTTTAATGAGTCTCCATCTTGTTTTTGCACAACAACTGACCTCTCCTGGTTCTTAATAGATGGACCATAGCGAGAACAACCGACCGGCTTCCCAGCTCATTGCTGGATTCGGCTCACCCTCGACACCCTCCGGTGCACGGAGTACCATGCGCCGATCAACTGCTATGCGACAATCTGGCCGTTTCACACAATCTCAAGCCCAATCCCATCAACCCGTTCATGGTAAGAAGATATCCTGCTCGGATTGACTCCAGAGGCCTGCGACGGAAACCTGACTCATTCGTATAGATGCGGAAAAAGATGAGCTACGCGTGCAATTGAGTACTCTTAAATACGAGCTCGAGAATATCAAGCAGGAACGAGAGTTGGAGGCTCTTCGTCATGAAAAAGAGACCCGCGACTTGCAACTGAAAGCGGACTCGGATTTTCGAAAGGCTCAGGTGAGTCTCTACAATTTTGTTTTGTTTTCGTGAGGTCAAACTGACAATATCTGCTACAGGCTGCCGAATCTTCGAGTAATCGAGCCACACATAAGAGCGACGAACTTGCAAAAGAATTGAAAGAAATTCAAGATCAGGCCTTGAATGACAAACTTGCGTTTGAGCGCAAGATTAGAGGCCTTCAGGATGAAAATCAGAACTTGCAGGAAGAGTTTGACGACACCCAAGCTCGACTTTCTGACCAGGAACGGCAATTTAATTACCAGATCAACGAGTTAGAGACAGTCCGCGCTTCCTTACAAAAGACCATCGAAGAATTCCAAAACGATATTCAAAATGCCAGGACATCGCAGGAATCAACGCAGGAGAAATTATCCCAGCGTGAAGCAGAGGTTGCTGAGCTCGAAGCGGAGAATATTCGACTGAAGGCCGAAGGAAACGATGCCGAGGCTTTGACTGTATTAAAGAGAGAACTTTCCGAGCAAGTCAATCATATTCGTGAGTTGGAGTCAGCAAACCGTGATCAAACAACGGAGCTGCGCCACCTTCGAAAAGTCTCGAAGAATGTTGAAGTCGTCGAAGAACAAAAGAGATCAGTGGAGAACCAGCTTCAGTTGATGAAGGGCTTTGAAGCCGAACTCAACACAGTTCAGATTCAAAAGCAGATCTTGGAAGATGAGCGACAATCTTGGGTCAGCCTTTTACAGGAAAACGACCAACCTGCAGAGTTTGACTCACCAGAAGCCATCGTGAGGGCAGTGGTTCAAGGACGAATTGAGATTGCTACGCTTCTTGATCGCCTCGGAACTGTTGATGCCCAATTTCTTGAAAAGGACGAGGCTATCAAGAGTCTGGAGAGTGATAAAAACAATCTGCAACAGGAGTTGGAGAAACTCCGCGCTGCTACTGCTTCCGCAGGAGGACCAGGTGCCGCGGAGGGTCGACTTCGAGCTCGACTGGAGCGCCAGCGTGCGCTTGCAGTGAAAGAAGTTGAATACTTGCGCGCCCAACTCAAGACATTTGATGCGGAGGAGGCCACAATGCACGAAGATCCGTCACAGTTTGATGGTCAGAAATCCGAGCAAATAACCCAGCTGCAGCAACTCGTCGATGAATACCGCGGCGAGCTCCACAAAGTTCACGAAGAGCTCTCCAAGCAGGAAGCACCGAAAGAAGACCAAGCCGAAGCCAGAGGCGTCAAGCGACCTCTTTCTCCGACCAACAGCGAAGCCGAAGCCGAGCGCATCGCTGTGCTCAGCCGCAAGAACCGCAAGCTCCAGGAACATCTCACCAAATCAGACCAGGCCACGACTCTCGCCCGCCGGGAACTTGATGCCGCCAAGTCCCAGATTAAGTCCTTGAAGGCCAAGTCACGAACACGTGTTCTGGAACTGCGCGATAATCCTACCGCCCAAACCGAGCAAATTAAGATGGCTACTCTTGCAACTCTCCAGTCCGCGAACAAAGACCTCATGGCACAGTTGCGCGGGGGCCGTACCGATGTCAAGGTCGTCCCAGTCAGCGCTCTGGAGAGCATCAAGCTCGAAATGCAAGATATGGAGCGCACCGTCGCCGATAAAGAAAAGCGTATGCGCCGATTAAAGGAGATCTGGACAGCCAAGTCCTCTGAGTTCCGGGAAGCCGTTGCTTCTCTCCTCGGCTTCAAGCTTGACTTCTTACCGAATGGTAGAGTGCGTGTCACTTCCATGTTCCACCTATCCTCCGCTTACCGGCACGGCGACTCCGATGCACCTTCTGACTCTGGTCCCGGTAGCATGGGCAATGGCGAAGAAAATTCCATCGTATTCGATGGCGAGAACGGTACGATGAAAATATCGGGCGGACCGAACAGTCTGTTCGCTATGGAACTTAAACCTCTCATCAAATTTTGGGTTGAGGAGAGAAAAGATATTCCATGTTTCCTAGCAGCCATGACCTTGGACTTCTATGACAAGACCACCCGTGCTGCTAGGATGTGATATATCAGATGATTATCATATTACATTTTCCATCTCTGTATTTTTGTGATTCCCCGGCACATGTTGATTTGTGCTATGTTGCATGTTCTTGTCATTGATTATCCGTTATTTATGCAGTAATTAAAAACGCTGCATATCTTCCTATTTCCTTGCATCTAGCTCTCCTAGAAAAAAGAGATGGACATATGTTGGCACTCGAACTTTCCGTTTTAGTTCCCAACCTCTTGCCGCTTTTGAGTAAAAATCGAAAGCGTCAAGACTGGAGGCAACCCCATACATCCCCTGCCTAATCGGGAAACACAAAGTCGAAAATGGACCTAGGGTCCCCTAGTTGGTTCGAGAATTGGATATCCTGGGATGGGGGATAATTAAGATCGGGCCTCATCGGCGATGGCGTGTCAATGCTTGCGTAAGGAATTTGCTCGGAGTTTGGCGAGATTATCGAAGAAAACTATGACACAGTTAGCGACATTCAATTATCAGGTGAAGTTTCCCCTACATCTATATCTTTGAAATCAATATCTGGCCCAAAATCCCATATTGGTTGGATACCTTGGTGCATCTCTGGCTTCGAGATGGTAACCGTGGGTACCGTTTCCCGCAACTTGAGAACATATTGTCGCGCAATGCCTGCAAATTTTGAGATAATGCTTCCTGGTAGTGCGCCCTTGGAGGTGTACTCAAGTTGACTGAAGTATGCCGCAGCCTGATCAAGGAAAGCAATATTACTTTCCGTCTCTGTATGAGTGGGATTGTGTATCACAAAATCAAAAAGAACGAAGACTGCTGATAATGGCATGATGCCGGTAATGCTAAGTTGAATTATTAGTATAAAGGCCTTCGTCTGGAATCCCATAGAACGGGAGGAACATGGACTTACAAGACAGGCATATGAGGCTCGATTGCAATGAAGGAAACAAGCTCAATGACAATACGCGCTGCGTTCATCAATTCCAACCTGCTATCCTCGCGATCCAGCTTTTCATCAGGGTCGACGTGAAGGGACAGGCGCTCCATAGCAAAAACCAGGTTGCAGTACAAGTAATGCGTCTGTATAACAACCACTTTCGTCGTCGGACTTGCACTTTCACTCAGTTGAAGTGGCTCCTTCGGCCGAAATGCTACAGGTACTGATAAGCGCCATTCTTCTAACCCACGTCGTACATGCTTGATAGAATTTAAGCAATCCTCTGCGGACTTTAGAGAAGACCTTGTTGAGAATAGAGTGGTGTATGCGATCGATGTCAGTCTGCTCAGATGAATGGCGGACAGGAACCAGTTGTAGTCTCCAAACTTAGACTCTGGGACGGAAGGGACGTCACATCCGATATCTTCATCAGCGAAAACCTGATTGATGATTAGTAAAATATCTTTATGCATTGGAAAGGGATATGAACGCACTGAGCTATTGTTCTTAGAGAAGGAGGTAATCTTTTCCAAGTGGTATATAGTCCAAAACACTTTCAAGTGAGCAGGTTTGGCATTGGGAGATTTGTGATACCGTAGACTTTGCGCCATTCTTGCAGCCTCGTATACCAACGAGTGGTCTAGTTGAAGACAGCAGGTATTCAGTGCAAATATGGACTGTGACTCGAATTAGGTCTCCGAAAATGGTAGTTAAAGGATTAAAGCCTCACCATGGTCGTCAAAGCCTATGTAATTTCGTCAGCATGAGATGAGACAGAGAAGGTGAAGACAGTGAATTACTTGAAGTTTCGTCAAAGAGTATGGAGGAACCAAGATATCCGGCATAATACCTAGACAGAATTGAAAGATAGTCCAGGCCTTTCCAGATCCAGGTATAAAGCTGCCGCCTTGGTGGTACTGGCTGCCCAAAGCTAGGACAGCGTGATATATTGCGGAACACGCTTTGCTACATTTCGATGTCCCAGTACGCTGACAGTTAGTAGTATGCGAGGTAAACTCCTGTACATCGAGAAACGGGTAGATATGATGGACCTGGTCAAAGTAGGCTAGTTCTTCCAATTAGATCCCGGGTGATAACCAAGGGAAGGAGATACCGACCATCAATATAAGCCGCAGCCTCGCTTGGTGTAACGTCCACACTGGTTAGAGGCGGCTGAAACTCAATCATAGACGATGAAGAGTCGTGTGTCGAACATACTCGTGACACAAGGAAGTTTTCTAGGTCCTCAACGAGCTCTGCGACTACGTCGGTTCCTATTCGGCTGACCAATGCGCTCATTCGCTCATTCGAGAAAAAGCTCATGCCCGAGCTGGTTGCTATAGATTTGTAAGGATTTAGTCACACGAATGGGGGAATATAAGCTTACTTCGCTCATTGCTAACCTGGAAGTGCGATGGTGTGAGCAATGTAATTTCCGTGGCAGCACATTTCTATCACCATACCTTGACAACGACGGTATCATCGTATAGAGCGACGCTCTGAGGCTCAAAGCGCAAGAGGCGGTCGATAGGGAGGTCAATTTCGGGTGGTAGTGATGGCTCGATAGGAGTTGGAGTAAATTCTAGGTATCGTTAGTAACAGGGGTATTGGTTGTATAGAGTCAGTATGCACGTGTATCCTTGCGTCGGAATTTACGCCTGATAGGGCTAAATTGACAAAACTCGTTGCGATTCTACATAAAGCCCCATTAGACGCGACTTTGTATCAGGGTGTTGTGACATACGATGCAGTGGATACAGGTGGACGGTGCCCCCTGTTGGCTGGGGGTTTCAGGCACTATAAATAGTATCAGCTTCAGCCATTCAGCAATTTGAGAGTGTATTATACCAATGCACCGAACTTTTCGGAACCTGCATTGATCACAGGACTTGTTGATTCTCATCATATTTAGAGACGTGGACGTGTCAGGATACAGTTTGGAGAGCTTTCCAAGTTGTACCCCGCCATATTCCACACCGCCTATAAGGCATAGCGCTTTATTATTTCTACTCTGTACGGTGGATTTGGAATATATGGCCGTAGGGACCAAAGAGAGAGGGAGAGAGTATTGGCCAAGGCAGATCTCCCGAACTATTTGCATTACGGGCGTTGTGGGCCGTGGCCCGATTTGAATCGCGCACTTTATCCAAATAAGTATAGTATATAACTATTGTATGCTAGATGCTCAGTTTTGAACTTCGAACTTCCAAGGTTTCTTCCTTTTACCAGCCTCCGATCCATATCTGAAATTCTCTCAAGTAGACTTGCTGCCTCTCTTTTTAGGAACCTTGAACGCCCAGTAAAGCGCTAGCCCCGCCACAATATTAACGAAGATGTAGACCCATATGAGACCAAAGTCCCGCCATCTTGTATCGTACGAAATCTGGAATCGATCAAGGAACTCATTGGTGGTGGCAAGGGGGCAATATTCACACATGCTTTGCGCTGTCGGGTTCAGCACCAAGCCACCAGCGGATTCCTTGTACGCAGCCAGGAATTCTCCACAGGTAAGGTTTCCAGTCGGAGCCATATGGAGAATCTCGCGGTCGGCACATGTAACGTTTGAGTTGGCAACTGCGTTGGACATGATACCCCCAACAATGTATGTTGCGGGTGAAACACGATACATGAAGGACCAAAACTTTGGGAGATCAGATATGGGGACCCCGACTCTGTTGTGCTGATTAGCGTGTTTCTTCAACGAGAAAGGAATTACTTCGGATTTGGACTCACCCACAGAACAGGATACAAAGCATCCAGAAAAGACTGGTTAGTACGCCTGCAGTTTCGGGAAGATCAATCCAGAAAATGGCGAAGTGGGTAAACGTGCTCGTAAATAGCAGATAAACCCATAAGAAGAGGAAGACGAGGAAGCCGCGGATAGCCTGGTCATCGGGTGTAGTGTTTCGGACAAAGCCCACTGGGTAATACCAACAGAAGTACATGATGATCGCCATCAGGGTGTGCCATGCGAGCTCAACAAAGATGTTGGAAAGTAAGTATGCTTTGAATGAGACTAGTCAGCTGAGTTGCGTGGACAAAATGCGGGTGAGAGAGATAGGTCCTTACTTGACCATCTGTAAATCTTCGAGGGACGCTCGCGAGCCTCGTACAGCGCTCGCTGGGGCAAGAACATGGGCATTATTTGCTCATTGATGTTGAGAAACAGAATTAGCGGCATGAAGACAGCCCAAAGTTGGTTTTGCAGCCCTTGGATGGAATTGTTGGCCTCAAAGCTAAAGCCGAGGTAAAGAGACTAGAAGAGAAAAGTGTTATCAGCACGGGTTAAGAGAATCATGAGAAACTTTAACATACGGAAAGAACAATCAATATGGTTTTGGACCAAATGTAAGTCGGGGATCGCCAGAAATGCTTCCAAGTGCGCTGTAAAACTTGGTCGAACTGGGTCCAGAAAGAGGCCACAAATTCCTGATGTTGAGAGGCGCCTTCATCGACTGTGGAGTCTGCTGCGGGAAGGTCACGAAGGCGACGAAGCTCCGTCTTGACTGTCTGATATTCGGGGGAATCCAGCCATACCTGGTGCCAGTCTGGTCCTTTCGAGCCATTTGCGGGGGATTCAATCACCTGCAACATCCATTCGGCGGGATTTGCACCCGCTGGGCATGCAGGGGCATTGTTCTTCTCAAAGTAGTTAATTAGGGTTGAAGCACCACTACCCAAATCTACAAGCATATTTTATTAGCCGCAAGCATTTGAAGAATATGAGGACGGCAGGTACTTACCACCAAAGTAGGCTGTCTTGCCTCCCGGGGCGATAAGAAGAAGTCGATCAAACTGGTCAAAGAGAATAGCAGAGGGTTGGTGAATTGTGCAGAGAACCGCCTGGCCGCTGTCCGTCAACTTTTTGATGAGTTCAGAAACGGCCCAGGAAGTCTGCGCATCCAATCCCGAAGTGGGTTCATCGAAGAAGATCAACAGTTGTGGTCGAGCGGCAAGTTCAACGCCAATTGTAAGACGTTTGCGTTGTTCTATATTAAGACCCTCTCCAGGGACACCAATGACAGCGTCGGCGAATTCTCGCATTTCCAGTGTGTCAATGATATGTTCAACGTAGTCGAGCTTTTCAGATCGGGATATTTCTGCGGATTGTCGGAGGACGGCACTGAACTGAAGCGCTTCGCGAACTGTCATGGTGCTGAGATGGAGGTCTTGCTGCTGAACATAGCCAACCCTGTGCTGGAAAGAGGGATCTGTTGGGTTTCTATTGACCATTATACTTCCACTTACGACACCGGTCGTGACGCGAGTTGCCAGAACATCCAGCAAGGTTGTTTTGCCTGCACCAGACACACCCTGATAAAATCATTATTAGTGGTTGCTTGCTTTATACCCGGGAATGAGGTTTACCATGAGAATGGTTGATACACCAGGTTTAACCCAGCCATCGACATGGTCCAAAAGACGGCGGTTTCCGCCCTTTATTTCGATGTCATAGCAGAGATCTTCCCAGTGGAAGACATCCTTTCCAACCACCATCTCATCAGACCGACCTGGAGACTGTACCTTCTCGGCTACTACTGGGCGATTTTGCGTTTGATTCTCGGCGTCCAGGGACAATTTCTGCTCTGGTTTAGGAGAGCCTTTGCTTCGACGGAACACAAGAATTTCGCCGCGGGTCCTGGGTGGCTTTGCAAGCTCAGCAGAAAGCATGTAGGCAGGGAAAAAGAAGGCTAAAAATGCGCAGAGAATACCGATGTTTCTGTGTGGCATATCTCAGTTAGATCATGGGCCCTTCATTGTAAATGGATTATACTGACCTCCACTTGTGCACATTCCAGTAGTCGAATGACATGCTAATGTAGTTGTCTCCATTCACAAAGGATGAACCAGCCTCCGAGCCAACAACAGAGCAGATCTGCGACACAGACGGAAGAGTTGTATACCCTTGACCGCTAGGAACCATGTTAACGCAGGGGAATTCCCGATCGTGGAATTCATTTGCCATTAAAGCCTCAAATCCGTACGCGAGGGGGTTGATATACGCCATCCACCGCGACCATCCGGGCATATACTCTGGGGGCGTGGTGAATCCGGTGTATATCATCAGCCCAAGACTCAGAATGGCACTTGGGATCATAGCCTGATCAGAAGTCCGAGTTATAGAGGCCAATGTGCGGAAAATGGCCGACTGAACCAGAGTGGTGAGGAAGGTGGTGAGGCAAAAAAAGAAGAAAGCACCCGCTTCTTGCTTCAGATTTGCCATGAAGTAAATGATGATGTTGAAAACAAACATATTCACAATCTTGTAGGGTAGATCAGTCAAGTAGCTCGCGATTGCCTGAGCGGACTGGTGGTAGAAAGCATAGCGATTCTGCTTCTCGACAATAGGGCGTTCGGCATAGATTGTCAGGACCTATTTTCAAGTTTAGTTAATATGAGCTGGTCGGAATTCAAGGGAAAGAGACTTTGGGTTGGGTAATAGGGCTGCACACCTCCAGCTGGCTCGCAAAAGCATTGAAAAGGAGGGAGAAAAAGATGAGTCCTCCACGATAGTAGAAGCTAGATGTATCCGGCTTGAGTTTATAGAACATACTTCCCAGGATGAGTGCCATCACAACGTTAAACAACAGGGAAGCAATGGTGAATACAGGGTCAGCAAGCAATCTCCGATAAGCACGCCAAAGAGTTAGGGAGATTTGCTGAGGGTATGATATCGTGTAAGCAGACTTGGAGCGCTGCTGCTTAGCCTGCTCTGCTTGCCTGGAATGATAGTATTCCGTCTTTCTCTCTTCCGGGGGATGTCTTTGCTCATACGATGCAAGCTCAAAGAGTAACTTCTTTCGCTGTTCGCTTGATTGCCATCGTTCTGCAAATTCATCTGCCGAGCGAGGTACCAAGTCTTCAAAGCCAGTTCTCACTCTCCGTTCTTCCGGGCTAGTCATGGACGTCAGGAAATCAGGGACAGTTTGCCTTGGAGGGGCTTAAAAACATGTCAGAAAGCTCGAAACGCTTTTTCAGGTCACTGAATATCGAAGACTCACAGTAAAAGCCCAGATTCTCAAAATAGTCCTTAGCGTCGGTAGTGTGCCCGAAAAAGATTTGCCTTCCCTCATAGATAAGAGTTACTCGATCGAAGAGCTAGAAGTAAAAATAAGAGTTAGCAAAGAATGTCATTGTCTTGGGGAATAATTGAGAAGAAGGCTCACATCGTAGGCTGACTGAGGCGCTTGGTACAAGGTCACCACAGATGTTACATCAAGTAGATCTGCTTGGAGGCGCAGGTTGCTGCAAAAGTTGACAGCATTGGCGCTGTCGAGCCCGCGCGTAGAGTTGTCCCAACACTGGAACTTGGCTCCAGTCAGAGAAGCCTCGGCAATGCTAACTCGCTTGCGCTCTCCACCACTGACACCACGCACGAAGTCATCTCCGACATGCGTGTTGATAGTATGATTCAGGCCAAAGATGGCCATCATGACATCGCGGCGCACCGTGTTGAGCTGATCGCGGTCAAAGCCCCCTGGGACGTGTCGGACAGAGCGGGCACGAGAGGCAAACGTTAAAGTCTCTCCAACCGTGAGATGGGCCAAATGGATATCGAGCTCTGCATTGTACAGTACATCGCCGCGGAGTGAGGAGCGGATATCGGCCAGGTCCAATCCTAAATGCGTTTAGCGAAAGCCCAGGACGCTGAGTAGCGTATCAAGAACGAACCTTGGAAGTTAACGTATGACTCTGGCGTCAGGTTCAGATCTGCTGTCTCCCCTGATAGTGACTTGAGAAGTGTAGAGCAGCCAGATCCAGGGGGACCTAGGACGAGCAACATTTCTCCCTTTTCTGCAACACCTTCGAAGTCGCGTAGGATGTCAGCGCGTCTGGCATGTCGATTTCCACGGAGCCACCTTGCAAGGTATGTTGTAAGTCCAATTACCACATTTCCTGTCGTCTTTTGGAACTCGGCGCCCGTGGTATATGCAAACACACTCAATGCCTTAAAGGCAACGCCGAGGGAGCGCGAAGGTGCAGACTTAGGGTCGGATTCTGTTAGTCTGATAAATTCTTTTACCCAGAGTCGGGCGTCAAATGCTGGAGACGATGGATCAAGCTTGCTGCCCGGCGTAGGGTTGAGTACTTGTGACTGCCACTCTCCAGAAGCAGAAGATAGTATGGACAATCGTTCCGCGACTTTCGCAACCTCATCTTGTAGATCGTTCACTTGGCCGTCTGTGGAAGTATGCTCGGCGGTTGCTGACAGTGAAGATGCCCCACTAACTGTAGCTTCGTCAATACGTCGGTCCAAACTCATGGCTTCTCTCAGAGGTACCTAGGTAAGTAATGGTGAAAACGCTCAGGAGTCAGGACAGCCTTATGTACCAGCTATTTGTTCGATTTTCGCCGTCTTTATCCCCGAAGGAGACGGGTCAACCTTCGCTCGGTGCTCGGGGCTTGGCCCTGATCGGATAAATACTATCGAAATTCTACAATTCGGTGCTCGAGGCTTGGCTCTGATCAGATGAATAGAGGCTCTGGTCGGATGAATAGATCCCATCGAAATTCCACAATTCGGTGCTCGGGGCTTGGCTCTGGTCGGATGAATACAGGTAGTGCTAGTATTAGTTGGGACCGTCGGGTTGGCTTTGACCCGCACCCCATGAAATATATATCTTTACTTCAACTACATATATCTCAACGAATATATATTCATTTCATAATTAATCTATATTTTCATCTAGTCAACTAGCCAAATTATCAATTAAGCTAAATAATTTGTGTATTACCATCCTACTTTAGGTAGGGAAAGGGGCCAGATAGTATCTAGCTATCAATTGCACCTTTATTAATCACGTACTTTTACCCCCTTATTACTACTACTTATTAGGCCTTGACAAGTCACGCGGTACCAAGTCAATTTTGGCACCGTTACTCGGTGTCGGTACCGCATGGCACTGCGGCACTAACGGTAGTCTCTATATGGTATCGTTCCTGTATAATTTGCTAAGAAATTACCTATTTGAGTTGCATAAAATGCTACGTAAGTCGATAAAATACTATTTTTTTATGAGTGTATAGGCTGTATCTGAGCCCGAGTCTTCTACCTTCATGATTATTAACGAGTATATAGTTATCGTTGGAACTACCTAGTTAGATAGTTTGGGAGTTTCGTCTCCCCTTTCCAATACAACTCTCTCCCTCCTAACTTTCGGGCCCCTACATTGTAGTACCCAATAATTCTTGCTTTAAAAAAAATACTTGGAGATCTGACTACCTATATATATTATTATTGCTACCTTTATATACCTATATTGTTCTAAGTACGTATTCTGTGTTTAGGTGTATAGATCACTGTATAGACTAATATATAAATATATATTTAGGAGTTTTCGGGGTTTTATCCTTCGTCTAAATTTTAGACCACGTTAAGCTTCTATACTCTAGACTATACGCTATATTCTACTTAGTACTTAAAGTTGTTGAATATCACTGGCCGCTATGCCCCTTCGTAAGCGCCCCCCACGGGCCCATAAGAAACCGACATCATTTTCAATTTCTCGAAAGATTTTGTCCACAATAAGGTTGCACATACTCATTTTCCCTCAGTTCGCAATTAACATAGCAATTCCAGCTCGTAGAGGTCTAAACAAAAAGATTGAATGATAACCTGACATCTGTCCGGTGACATTTGTTCGGATGAAGGCCGGTGGATGCCCGGCGCTAAAAGTCGCACTTTTTGAGATACCCCTGTCGATAGCGCAGGACGCTAAAAGTCGCGTTTTTCGTTTGGGATCGAGCTCTCTCTATCAATCTGGATTGTGTAGTATCGAATTATGCTGGAATATGCATTACTGAAGAATTACACAACTTGATAGGTAGGTATGATGTATTATATTTTATGCATTATGTATCAGGTGCAAAGCTCAATGCCCGACCTCACTCTCCGGGATACCTTAGGTTTTTTTTCCCTTAGTACATAAAACCTGGAGCTGGGTGCTGCCAACCTTCGGATTTTCTCTTTGTATTTGTCATATTTGTCCCAGCCGCAAATAATTTCTGCCGAGCAAAGAGTTGATCAGCGCCCCCTATATCAGCAAGGATGAATACATCACCCAACGATCCTTTTACGCAGGAAATTCAGCGACTAAGGGCTGATTACGAGAGAAAAAGAGCGCGGTCTAACTTTGGTTCTGCTAGTGGCCGACGGGTAATCGACCTCAGTTTAGGATTGGTTGACGGTGTGTTCTGCTACACGTATTGGTACGAGCACCAGTGCATCCGGCTGGCTGATATTCCCGGCACTATTTCTGGTGATATACTCCGCCTACAACAAAATTTGCCCGACTCAGTCGACCACGGCGATCATGAAATCATCGGTGACCAAGTACGCCCCCTCGTGAATGCGCCACCGCTTCCAGTGCTAGATGATGACTCCGAGGAACTTGATACAACTCTGACCTCGCTACCAATTGTTGAAGTCGATTCCAGCAAACATTTTGTCAAGAAAGGCAAATATAAGAGCGAAATCCGCAATCTGCTCGAATGCCAAGGTGGATCTTGCCCAGGGGTTCCGAAATCTTCCCACATCATTCAATTACTGGGAAAGTCGCCAGAGGGGAAGCTGGTTTTCGAAAAATTCAGGCCTCGATACGTCTTAGGGTACATGTATCCCCTTGCTGTCCATAAAGACTGGATTTTGCAAATAATCTCCGGAATGAAGAGACTTCATTCCCTTGGGATTATTCATCGTGACCTTCGCATCGACAACATTGTCTTCTCTGACACATCCCGCGTGCTTATCTGTGATCTCGAGGGTCGTTGGGGAAATCGTCTAGCTCCTGAGGTTTCTCGCGAGCCGGTGTTGGACGCTGGCTGGACAGAGAAATCGGACATCTATGACCTCGGCTATCTTATAAAAGGCATGATATACGGAAACGTCCCGATAACAATGGCGGTGGAATGGGTTGTTCCCCCTTCTCTTGCTGCTGTTGTGGAAGCCTGTACCCGCAATAAGCCCGAAGAGCGCCCTAATTTGGATGATTTATACGCTATGGTTGAGAAGATGAAGATTACTACTTAACAATAGTTAACATAACTATGAATGTTGATGACGTAATTTCGTGCAGGATATTAACTAAGTGGGCGAATTAACTTGTTTACAAATATAGTAATATTTTCTCCATTACGAAAGGGTTGTCAGTTGCGACTCCTAGATATGGAAAGTGATTCAATGGACCAGGAAAAATAAGAGAGCTACTTCCGTAGACCATGGCAAATGTTGGCTTATACAAAGGTTCAGAATATCAGAATGGCCATTCAATGCCCTAGGCCAACCAACACTTCGCCCAACAAGAAGATTCCCAGTGCAAACAGTTCACTATTTAACATGGGACTTCGTTTCTTGGTTGATATCTCGGTCAGCTTATGGAACTCAAGCAGAGAAGACTGTCGATACATACCTTTGTGTACTGATCTATCTCTGGTATTTCATGAGTCACACACAATCATGCAAGCTATTGTGACAGGATCCCCTTTTCCCAAGTTCCAGGCTGTCTCCGTGTGATTGGATGCTTGTGACTCGTCTGTATCAGAAAGGGGTACCAGGATATTTCTGCGTCCCTCGGTGTACTCAATCATCTTGCCGTTGACTTCATCACCAATGTGGTATAGGCCTAGAACCCCAATGACGGCGGTCAGACTATTGAATTCGTCAACAAGAGCAGCCGGCGGTGATACGGTGGGCCGAGTGGTGAACTCGTAAGGATCCCCCGAAGACAGCCAGCGCTCAGGATAGTAATTGCCGAGCAAAGTATAAATTTCCGGCTGGGATATGTTCCCTCTACTGAGCATTCTCTCCTCATCAGTCAAGTTGCAGTGTGCGTGGACGAGGCAGAGGCCGTAATGATTGCCGTATTTAGCAAGGAGGCTTCCTACGGCAGTGAAGATAGTTTCACGGTCAATAAATCGTTTTTCCGCATCTTCGAGAGTCGGCAGGTTGTTGTACAGTGTAGCTGCCATGTTTGAGTCTTATGGAATATGGATTCAGAGTGTGTTGCAGAAATTTGTCGAAAAACGAGAATGCAGCAAGATGATGATAACTAGCGTAAGGATTGAAACTCATTGCTTTCGGGTGAGATAGTTCATTCTTATATCTGCCATCTTTGGGGGCTGAGCCTATACAGAGTGTCTAATATGTTCAGCTGTTTATCCACGAGTCGCGAAACTCAAAGAATCCTAGTTAGTGGCTTGAACCCCAAGCTAAAAGTCGCGAGTTGCCTCGTATCCTCCCATCCTTGTCGATCCTTGTACTTCTTACACTAGTCAACAGGTCACAACGTGCCAGAAGTTGTGGTTTCAATCCTGATGTTGTGATTTGCCATATAACCCACTCCGTAAGCTTCCCATGCTAGGCGTTGCTGATTCCAAGGGGCCACTTGTTCGGCGACCACCCACCGTCAGACCCGTGACCCGACCTTCTCGATCCGTGAACTTGATGATTTATCTATCTTTAGCAACGTGATGTATCTTAAATCTAAAATTACAGACCATAGATTGAAGTACAAATGACTTCTTATCACATCCCTCATTTAGCGTACAGCACCACTGACAGGGGTATCGTGGGGAAGGCGACAAGAGTCCTTAGTAAAATCGCTGTGCCAACAGTATCCTACCGGAATATACGCCACCATCGAGGATATCCCATCCAACGGAAAGCATCAATCTGTATTGTCTCCGACGGAGTAGAAGTCTCCTGTAGCCTCAACACCACGAGGATCACACCAAATAGTCTGTAGGAAATCTACTCACAAGCGTGTGGGTCATATTCCGGTCTGACATTATTGACACTTTCCTTTTGCGGTATCGGACGTACTATTTACACATCATCATGACGGAATAATGTCTCTGTTTAGATTTGTAGGCAAGTGCAAATACCGTAGTCTTTTATATTCTACTATAACCACCCATCGATCACCAACATGAATCCATCAGAGCTTAACCGCTCGATAGAATCTCTTACAATGGCTGAGACAGACCCGATCGTTGTGCTGAAAAAGAGAAAGACCGAGTTGGGTAACGCATGCACGAAGTTAAAACCATCTGGATCATTCGACCAGAGATATTGGGCACAAGCAGCAAAGACAGAGGAAATATCCCTCGAACGCGAGGAAATCAAGCGGAAAGTATCACGTGAAAGCTATGTCGGCACAACCGCTCAATGGGAATATACCGAAGACGCGAAGAGCATTTTGGAAAAGATTGAAGCCCACAAGAAGGCTAAACAGATTTGTGAAAGGCGTGTCCAACAACTCGATGAAGAAACGCCCCACAGAAGTCTAACGACTTCATTTATGAAGCTTTTTACAACGTCAAAGATGGGAATGAATGTTGCACCTACAACGGGGCCACCAGGCCAGGGAAAACGGGATCCGGAAGACCAGGCTAGATTTCGAGCTAGCCTTATCACAACCTACAACTCTCGATACCAAGAAGGCCGGGACTACCCTGAAATAGGGAATTCAGACTGGCTTTGGTGCCCTGTACTACATGCTTGGCAAGATTCCCGAAACATGGTAGCTGCGCACCTGTTTGCATATATGCACGGCCAAAGCACAATGGACGCCATCTTCGGAAAAGCCCAGAAGGGGCCAGAGTTATTCTCTCCTCGAAACGGATTGTTGATTAGCGCTGCTATTGAAGAATTCTTCGACTGCGGAAAATTTGCAATCGTCCCCGATCTATCGGACGGTGCCAAGCTACCAGAACTCCTTCGATGGATGTATCATCGCGGCCCCCGGGAGTATAAAATCAAGATTTTGGATCGAACGTGGGACAAATTGGACCAGACAATCAGTGTTGGGACCAACCTCAAGTTTAGAGACTTGGAAAATCGGCGGTTACAGTTCAGGTCAAATGCCCGCCCTGCGGGGCGTTACCTGTACTTCAACTATTGCATACAGGTTCTCCGATCAGCTTGGCAACGGGCGGGAAAGGCCAAGACCAAAGGTGAAGCCTCCAAAATTCTTCGGGAAGAGAACGGGAAGCCTTTTTGGGGCACCCCTGGGCGTTACATTCCGCAAAATATGCTGAGAGCTTTCGTCGAAGAACTAGGGCATGAATATGAGGCTCTTTTAGAGGGAGCTTCAAGAACTACGGGGGATGAACAACTTTTGTTGGATACGGCCACGAATCAGGTAAAAAGAGATAGGGGATCTCTGGTGCTAGATCCTTCTGAAGACGAGAATGAGGAAAGCTACTCGCCGGACGAGAACGAGTAGCGTTACGATTTGGACAAGCAGGTTGTATTCGATTACGTTTATGGAATTGCTGACGTTGTATACTGCATGTATTATTATAGCTTTGTGACGCGTGAGTGGGTATACAGTTTACAATATGGACTCCTTGGTTGGCGTCGAGATGCGCAGTTGGTGGAGGCAGGCATTCGGGTTTGATATCCGTGTGCTTGAGCTGCTGGGCATGGGAAATCTCGATGGGCTTGGTAGGCAATCGGCGGAAGGAGTCATGAAGACACTGAGTGAAGAGTATGCATAGACTCTTCTGTAGCTAGTATACTCCTGGAATGAAATTTTCAAAGGTTGTACACAAAAATGTCCGTTGCACAAAGCACTTGTTTCCGCCTCTTTCCTGCCTTCTACCTACAACATTGTATAGAACTGAGAGGGAGGCGAAGTTACCTTAAAGGCGTCATCCTGGAATTTCAGGCAAGGGAATATGGAGTACGGGAAGGTGTGTTGGGCGCTTGGCCCACCAAATCCCCTTTAGTCCCTTTGTTTGTCTCTAAGTATTGCGTAACCTTGTTGCTATGCAAACAAAGGCCCGCGTCCCCTACCTAATGTTTGTCGCTGCCTGCTGGAAAATTATAAATACCTGCCTTCCCCCAGATTTCTTCCTCTTCTTCTTTTTCCTCTCCATCTTAGTGCTCGGGCTTTACGCGTATCAGTGAGGAGAGATCCGAGATCGTGTTTTTGCTGGTTGAAAACTACCAACGTGACTACTTCAAATGAGCTTCTAGCACGCTTGGGAATTTTTGAAACACCTTGACTCTTTGACTCTTGAGTCCTTGAAGTTTGTTACTGAGAGACTTTGCGGTCACCCAGTATCTTGAAGTTTTTTTATACTACTTGTCAAAAGTTATACATAGCAAAGTCCCAAGGCCGCGAAGGCATCTACTCTTATTTCACTTCCACGTTCATTCAACCAGTAGAACTTTGTAGCTCCAATGTTCCATGTCCAATAATGCTACCTATGCTGTCCAACAATACTATATCTACGTACATCATATCCAATGAACACCCGCGGTATCCAATCAAGTCTCCAGTACGCCTCGCATTCTATATACGATATACATTTAGAATCAACTCTGATACTCCGTAAGAAATGCAGTGCTATCCATATTAACTTTGACGCTGCTCCATTAATGGCCTAGCGCAACAACAGACCCCAAACCCAGCCGAGACGGTGTAAGCTGATGTTGGTGGTAGCACCGCCCCTTCTAGTGCGGTAAAGGACCTCTCTGTCGTTTATCAGTTGAATCTGACGATGTCTACCCCACGCAAGACCATTCTAGTCACCGGCGCCACCGGCAAGCAAGGCGGTGCCCTCATCCAAATCCTTCTCTCCGCCCCCGATACAGCCGGATTCAACATCGTCGCCGTAACGCGCGACATCACCACCCCCGCGCGCTGAAGCTGGGCGCGAATTTCAACGTGTCTGTTGTGGATGGCGACATGGCCCAGCCCGAGGCCATCTTCCAAAAGGTCAGCCCCGTATGGGGCGTATACAGCGTGCAGGTGAACTCGGACGCCGAGGAGCAGCAAGGCACGGCGATGATCGATGCGGCGCTTGCTCATGATGTTCGCCACTTCGTCTACTCGTCGAGTGACCGTGGTGGCCCTGAGAAGTCGCCCGTCAATCCCACCAAAGTGAAGAACTTTGCTGCCAAGTACCGCATTGAGAATCACTTGATAGAGAGGGCCGCGGCTAGCCCACAACAGATGACATACACGATCCTACGACCGGTGACGTTCTTTGAGAATCTGACTACCGATATACATGGGAAGGGCTTTGCTCGTATGTGGGAACAAATGGGCGACAAGAAGCTGCAGTTCGTGTCGACTCGGGATATTGGTCGGGTTGCGGCGTACAGCTTCATGCGTCCACATGACTACCGCAATGTTGCTCTGACACTGGTGGGCGATGAGTTAACCCAGAAGGAGGCTGAGCCCGTGTTCAAGGCTATCGTGGGATCATCTATGCCCTTAGCTCCTTGCCCTGTGGCTTCAACGGTCAAGTTTGTCTTGAAGGATACTGTGGGTGACATGTTCCGTTGGTTTGAACGTGAAGGGTATGGAGGTGATGTGGCCGCATGCCACCAGCTCTACCCTGGGATGAAAGTCTTCAAAGCCTGGATCGAGGAGAACAAGGGGCAGTGGTTGTGAGGAGTTTGACGATCTAGCTATGGCTATGCCACACGATGTCGATACAGACTTTCTGTGGATTGTGGATTGTGGATTGTAGACGCTTCTCCTCCCTTTAATCTCGTTTGAAAATGCCCAAGAATTGAGGAGCAGGGAGAAAAGGGGGAAGCTATAGAGGCTGCCTGTTGGACTATATGCATAGATAACCACGTGGAAAACCTATTAAGCGTAACTAAGGGCCCAGCTAGGCAGTAATAACCTCATGCTTTTAAAATGGTACATAGAGATACATATGTACGCAAACATAAATGTCTAACTACACAAAACGATATCCCAAACGAACAAAGAACAAAATTCATAGATAACAAAATCGTTATTTGCACAAGAGAAGACTCAAAACACGACAAGACGAGAAGAGGAAGGCGGAAGGGGGGAAAAAAAGTAAGAAAAAAAAGTAATGGCATAACCCTCTGCTTGGAGCCCTATTTGTAGGGATAACTATCCGGACATACATAATCCAAACAGTGAACAGATAATAGAAGAAGGATTAAATGGAAGAAGGAATATATACGACCAAGTGCGGGCAGCTCGCACCCACCTTGTGCAAGGCATGTCTAGGAAGAGACATACTTCCCACTGATCAGCTTGCGTGTAGTCGGGACGCCCAGCCATGAAGCTGCAGACGGCTGAGACTCACGACCCTCATCGGCGAAGGGGTCGGCTTCCATCTGCTCTGCCTCCGAGGCAGCACGGCTGACACCCAGCTGAGAAGCAGAATCGGCGTTGCGGAGCTCGAACTTTGCTTCGACGATACCCTTGCGAGGTCCAGGGGTGGACGTCACGAAGCGGACGAGGAATTTGCCCTCTGCCCCTGGGGTGGTGGGGGCCTTGACTTCCAGCTCGGGGATTCTCCAGGTGACGGTGGAAGTTTTGCGACGGAAGACGGCGCCGGTATTGGGGTACATGACAGCGCTGGTAGCGAGGGCGACTGACTCCCGCGGCTCCCCGGTGGCTTTGTCCTCGGCGGATGTGTCCAAATTAATGGTCAAGACCAGGTTCTTGAGGGTAATGGATTGCGCGGTGTGGGACATAAAGGAGGGGTTGAGCGTGTAGTAGATGATGGCGCTGGCCTGTAATTCTTCTAGATTCCACACTGGCTTGAATATCACGGGACAGTGGGCTGAGGGGTTGGTGGGATCGATATGCAGTTGATACTTAAATGCAACTGTCGGCATGGGGCGCGAGATGCTGCCCAGTTGGATATCGTATTCGCCTCTCTTGTCGTCACCAGCATCTCTGGCAACCTCCTGGACAAAGTGGGGATTGGCCGCCACCTTTTCCAGCACTTGGAAGTTATCGAGTCGGATGCGCGTATGGTCTACCGCAGTACCAGGTGTGGAGTTATTTGCTAAAGCAAGCTCACCAAGGACGAATGACTTGGTGACATTACCCTCTGAGAACCATGCATTGACCGTCTCAATGACTGAAGCATTCAGGCCGGATTCATATAGATCAGGGTGGACTGAAGGTCCTGGGCCATGCATAGTGTGCCCGGAGCGAACAGACGTAGTATCTGACATAGTGTGATCATCCGTACCAGTGCTGGCGGCAATGCTAGGGGAGGTCATTTGCCTGATTGGGGAGGTTGGTTGCTGGGACTCCGACCCTGCCGAAGATGGCGGAAGCTCATTGCCAGGCGAAGCAATAAACACTGTATTGCGAACATCACGGCGTCCACGAATAGTGCCCGCATTGCGTCTCATTCCTGTCTGCGGTGCCCGCATTCGGAGAGTATTTGCCATATCATCCATGGCCCGCTTCGCCTGGCTCTCGTCCTCGAAGATGGGCTGGTCTCGAATTGTCAAATTCATACCAGACTCATCTAGGCCCGCTGCCTCATTCTGAGCACGCGTGATCTCGTCAATTGTTGCAGGACGCTGAGTGAACCCCTCTGAATCAACCTGTGGCGGATTGACATGGTCATTGGTGAGCCCAAGACCTTCTGGGGCAACTCCATTTCTGGGGTTCTCTGGGTGCGCTTCAGGCATAGCTGCGGCATTATCTAACCCAGGGCGATCCTGCGACACACTAGGGTTCCGCAAGGATGATTGATCGGTGAAGGATGTCCCTGGTCGGTCAGAGGCGGTCGCGGGGGGAGATTCAGGTATTTGCAAATCGCGAGAGGAGTCTGCTCGCTTGAAGGCAGCAAAGGGACTACGTTTCTTCTCTGCCTTTCGGTCAAACGATCCAGTCGAGGGCAAGGCAACACTCTTTCTCCTGTTCATGACAGTGCCAAGACGTCTCAATCCCCCCAGGGGAGTATGTCGGGGCTGTGCTTCCGGTGCTAGGTAAATCGTGAGAACTTGCATTTAGAGTGGGATCGCAACATGACTGTAAAACTCACCTGGTGGTGTCTGAGCAATATTGTGTTGTCTATCAGATGCCTCTGATAGTTGGCTTGCCGCATCATCCTGGATGCGTGGAGGGGGCGGAAGCGGGGCTTCTGATCGCGGCGTGGAGAACTGACCGTCGATTGGAGCAGTCTGTGTCCGCTCAGATACCGGTTCAATTGTGGAAGGAGTCTCTACCGGCTCAGTCTGTCTTCTGGGGACGGCCTGCGCCAAAGGGGCCCGAGGACCCGCCATTCTAGCAGCAAATGTCTTGATCTCATCTGCCGTTTCCACATTGAGAAGAACGTTCAAGCAGCTTTCAGCGGCCTGACGACCGCGCTCGACTTGATCCACCTCGTGGGTCTCCAGTTGTGTTAGCACATCCCGAAGGTGGTTGAGCCGGGTCTCATCGGCGGCCTGAAGTTGCTCGTAGACAAAGGGAGCCCGCGAATCCCATTGCTGATGAACTTCCTCAGCATTGGCGATCTCGCTAGCAAGTTTGTCTGCACCTTTGGCACCCTTCGCCCTGGCCTTGTCCACCTTCTTCTGCGCAGCCTCCACATTCTTCGCCAACCCCGCCAGACTACTCTGGATACCGGGCAACGACTTCATCTCCGGATTCTTGTTGCTGAATTCCCTCAAGGGGCGTTCCACATCCTCTTCAATCTTGTTCGCGAGGGTCTCATGCGACACGGCGAGCGTTTCGGTGGCACTGATGATGCGTTGCCATGGGATTTGGAAAATGCTAGTTTCACAGGTCAGAATCATTATCGGGCGCAGATGAACTTCAATCTTCCAGGGAAAGGCCAATTTACCCAAGAGCAGCTCCATTGTCCAACTGTGGCCGATGCGCCAGCTTCCGCAACCCTTGGGCGTATGCTTCTTCAACGCGACGTCGTTCCTATCGCCAATTTGTCAACACCAATGTCGCTCCCCATTGCAGATCCCATTCCAGGAATCTGATTGAGTCGGGTCCCGGGTCGTCATACCTGCAGGTAATCCGCGATGTCCACGTTGATCTTATTTATGAGTTTAATGCGATCGCTTAGGACGGTTGTAGCTTGGCCAGGGTGCAGGGTGGCCTAAATGAAAGAAATTACCAATGGTCAGTAACTGGATGCTGTGCTGGCTAATCACAAAGCTCGCATTGGTCAATCTTACCAGCAGCGTTGGGTACTCTTGTCGTGAGAGGTCCATGATTCAGATTCCGGGGTATTGAACAAGGTAGCGCACGAAGCGCATAACATGAAAGAGAAAATCAAGAAATTCTTCCGATCCTCGCGGCGAGAACAGCCCAATCAAGTAAGTGAAATGAATGCGGGATCGGGACCGAATGCCAGTGTCAGTTGGTAGCGTGTCATTCGATGGTGACCGGGGACGGAATGGGGGATGGAATGACGGAGGGCGTTATGATAATACAGTATTTGGCCGTATCAAATAAGTTATATCGCCTAAACGGCTGTTATTTACGTCACATAACTGTATACATCCCTTGATTGGTCACATGACATCATACACGCCGTTGATGTTGGCGCCTTGTTGCCTCAGGTTGACATCTGATAGCAAGTCTCCATGATAGAATAGATCTCCCCCTATATTTACTGTGCTTTGATGATTGGCTATACACTAGTATAGTAACTGCAAGACAGCATAGGCTAGAAGTCATACTACCTCAGATAGCAGTGATTTTTGTCCATCATGTACTGGAAAGACGATTTTGGGTTCACAGACCGGCTGCGAGCCATACAGTCTCTGTGAGTGACTTTTCCCGTATATGTCAACTTGAGCAGTCGATTGATTCGCATGTAGCACAACAGCTTACCAGCAGGCTTCCTCTTCGCCTGCATCCGCATTTGCAGAAGCTATGGCTCAAGCGAAGCGGCTTGAAACTGAGGCGTATGACAAGGCCAGCTCAAAAGTGAGTTGTGGGCTTTCTAAAAATGGAAATAAAAAAATTCTTTCAACTGAGACTGTTCCATCCAGGATGAATATGATTCCATCTGCCAAAAGGCAATTGATGAAGCTGAATTGGCAGCGTCCACGGAGCTGATCACTAGCAGCTCGCAGCATATCGAGGATGACTATGAAGCACCAGAGACCTCAACCGGGGAGGTGATCGGCCAATATCGGTCTTGTTTCGATCACTATGATGGTCTCCACTCCTCCATCTACAGGTCAAAGTTGGAAGATGGGACTATTCGAGCAGTAAAAGTCACTATTCCCCATATGATGACAGCCCCGCATGATGCTCACCGTGAAGCACGGTTGCTGCGCGAGGCTTCTCACGCCAATATAATTCCACTGATCGAGACTTTTAATCTTGATGGTGGCCGATTTGTCTTGGTCTTTCCTTTTGTGCGATATGACTTTGAGAAGTTGCTCCGGCGAGACTTGGTAACTGCTGCTCAAACACGATCGATTCTGCGAGACCTGTTCCATGCCCTTGCCCATCTCCACAGCATGGGTATACTTCATCGGGACATCAAGCCTTCCAATATTCTAATGGACTCTCCCAATGGACCAGCCTACTTGGCAGACTTTGGCGTTTCGTGGAAAGAAGGTGATGCGGGATCTGAGCCACCCATGCAGAAAATCACAGATGTGGGCACGACCTGCTATCGACCCCCAGAGATTCTCTTTGGGTTCAAAGAGTATGGAACGTCCCTCGACATGTGGGCTGCCGGCTGTGTAGTGGCAGAAGCCATTGCCGTCGGCCATCACCAGCTCTTCGATTCTGGGCCTGTGGGCAGCGATCTGTCACTGATTTTCTCCATCTTCAAACTACTAGGTACTCCAGATGAACAGCGCTGGCCGGTAAGCTTCACACTTGCAACAAATAGGAGTGTCACTAATAACCATTGAACAGGAAGTCAAGATTTTGCCAGATTGGGGAAAGGTGGAATTCCACTCGTTCCCCACGCAAACCTGGGAGGATATCCTTCCAGGTGCATCCTCGAATGGCCGTGATTTAGTCAGCCACTTATTGTGTTACGAGAGCAGCGAAAGACTCTCTGCAACAGAGGTATGTAACCTGACCTAATGTCTTACGATAGCCTCTAACAATAGACTTAGGCCCTTGCCCATCCATATTTTGCTCAGAGTTGAAGCAAATGGTATGACATTGGAAGGCTACGCCACACTTGCGCCTCGGGTTATATCGCACGAGTGGATCTCGGAATCACAGGCATGGAGGTGGACCTGCCACTTATTAACGGTACAAATGCACCAAGTTTTATGCACACGGACCAGATATGAATATTTACTACCGCTTTGGAGATATGATTGTACCTTACATGTAGGTAACAACATTTGAAAATATTAATGTGTTTCCGAGGTGCAGCGTAACCCCTTAGGACCTGCATAAGGACAATATTGGCGCACAAAGGTGCCATTACCAAAAATTGGGATTGATTAAAACTAAATTTTCGGCAACGCCGGAGATTACGGGCTCAGTGAATGATCAATTAAATGTGACGGTTCTGGTTAGGGTGAAACAACCATATAGTAGTCTGTGCCCCCGGGGCCCGCGTGCAATACGCTTTAGCGAATGTGCCGCTTGGGGGCGGGCAAATGGGGCTCGCAGGTACCGGATGAGATTTGTTTTCCCGTGCCAAGTACTCGCAAATTAGATACTGTATTAGGAATATTCTTAGCAGAACTACTCCATCCACTATATTCCGTAGTACTAACTATGATAGTTACTTGTGTACAGTATAAAGAGAGAATCCAAGATCGCAAAAGCCCAAGGCCAATTAAAGTAAAGAGGGTCAGGGTTCTCGGCCGTGGGTCTGGTATCTCTTTCGGGTCAGGTACCATTTTCTAGCCAATCAGAGTGAAGAAAACAATGTGCATCGTTGCCTATTCTGGTTAGTATGTTGTCTATACACACAGGGTCCCAAGATCTCATTTCCTACCCCAGGGACTCTTTCTCTCTATCGAATTTCTCTTTTGCTCTTTTCCATTCATTCTTTCTGTACGACCTGGAAGTCGACGTCCTTTCTTTTATTCTCGACTTGACAATCGGCTGTGCTCGATCTCAGTCGTCCATTCTTTCTATCATTCCACGGAACCCAGCGACGCGAATTCTCGGGAATTACTCGCGTTGGAATCCTAGGTTATCCCTCTCTTTAGGATAATCTCCGTCTCTAACTTTCATCACCCCTTCACGATATCCTGGGATACTGGAGTCGACAACATGCACGGGCATGCGCACCACCATGCACGCAATGTGGAGGAACTAGAAGGACGAGGAATTATTGAAGAACGAGGAGTCGTCGAGGAGCGAGGCGATGTCGTTTATGTTTACAAGACCGTGGAACCAGACTTTGAAGGGGAGGTGGGAGGTTATGTCACCGGCAACGAACACAACACTGCGACGAAAGTAAACGCTGGTCTCGGTCCTCCTGTCAGCGCGCCTGGAAAGCCCAAGGAACACACAACCGAGGCGGATGAGGAGACGTCAACCAAGACGAAGGCGGAACCGACGACCACCAAAGAGACAGTGGCCCACACCACTCATGAAACTAAAGAGGAGACCACCGAGACTACCAGTGCTGAAACGACCCGCAAGAAAGTCACCACTACCAGTGAGTCGGAGGCTCCTATCACAACAACCTCTTTTGTGACTTCAGCATCGTCCACCTCGCAGTCCTCCCAGGATGTCAACACTCTCCTCGCAACCTCTACCGGATCGGCCAAGGACTCTACCGCATCGGCCTCAACTACTGCTATTCCAACTACTGCTTCTGAGGGTATGACTGGTGGCGCAAAGGCTGGTGTGGCCATCGGTGTCATCTTCGGTGTTGGTGTGATCGCTGCGTTGATTTTCTTCTTTATGCGCAAGAAGAAGAGAAGTCAGGAGGGATATCAAAAGGAGAATGAGAAGACCTTCGGTGGTGAAGGCCTGCCAGAGGGCATCGCTGCTTCTTTCCCACCTCCTCCTCCTTCCAAGCCACAGACTTCGACTCCCCCGCAGCTTAATGTTCGTCCCGTCACTCAATTCGCGCCTGATCTGAGCGGCGGCAGTGCCTTGAACCCGGCCACTGCTGGTGCTTCCGGGGGTTTAAGCCCGGCCACTGTTGCAAGTGCTACTGCTGGAGCTGGAGCTGTAGCTGGCTCGGCCGCAGTCGCCTCTCGTAATCTTACTGGCGAATCGCCGCCTCCTACTCCGCCAAAGTCCGCTGCAAGCAACACCAACCCGTTCAGTGACCCTGTGAATCCTTTCAACACAACCACCAGCCCTGTTAGCCAGAATGCGCCTTCAGTTCCCGAACCAGCTACTGGACCGTCTGGATCGACCGTCGCAGCTGCGGCGGTTGGTGCTACAGCTGTTGGTGTTGCAGCAGGTGCTGTTGCTTCATCTCGGGCGTCCAATGATTCTTACCACTCCGCTCAATCACACGGCCATTCCCCCACTGGATCGACCCAATCCGCGACCATGCCTGGCGATGCTGCTGCTGGCTCGGCTGCTGCTGCCGGCGCCGGTGTTGTAGGAGCTGCTGGTGCAGCAGGCGCCATGCCTGCTGGTCCACCACCCCCCAACAATGTTTACCGTGTGCAACTGGATTTCAACCCTTCTATGGAGGATGAGCTCGGCCTTCGCACAGGCGCGCTTGTGCGCTTGGTTCATGAGTACGACGATGGATGGGCTCTCTGTATGCGCCTTAATAGCCCCCAGCAAGGTGTTGCTCCACGTTCTTGCCTCTCGGCTCGCCCTGTCATGCCTCGCGCCCGCCCACCCCCTGGCGCTCCCGGCTCTCGCGGCCCACCCATTATGGGTCCTGACGGTCGTCCAATGATGCCCGGCGGTCCTCCTGGTCCAAGATTCTACCCTCAGGACGTCCGTCCGAGATCCCCCGGTAATGCTGGCGTCTCTGGACCTCCGCCTTCCCGCCCTTACCCTGGCCCTGGATCTGCCGTCCAGTTCCCGCCAGTTCCCCGCTCTATGTCGCCCGGACCAGGAGGAATGCCTCGCTCTATGTCTCCAGGGCCCGGAGGACGACCTGGCCCTCGTTCAATGTCCCCCGGACCTGGAGGTATGCCTGGCCCTCGCTCCATGTCTCCAGGGCCCGGAGGACGACCTGGTCCTCGCTCCATGTCCCCAGGACCGGGAGGACGACCTGGCCCTCGCTCGATGTCTCCCGGACCTCGCGGAATGCCGGGCCCTCGCTCGATGTCTCCCGGCCCCGGAGGAATGCCCGGCCCGCGCTCGATGAGCCCTGGTCCATACGGAGCTCCTGGAATGCAGCGCCCTGTGATGCCTGTCAACCAGCGCCAACGTAGCAATAGTGCCGGCGGCAACGCTGGTCCTCCTATGGCACCACCAGCTGCACCTTCCGTTTCCAGTCCACTAGCCGCTCCCGCTCCTCCCCCCGCTCCTGCTGCGCCACAAGTTTCGAGTCCCTTAGCCGCTTCTGATTCTGCCCCTGTCGCTCATGTTGCTCCCGCTGCGCCACAAGTTTCAAGTCCCTTGGCTGCTCCTGCTCCGGTCCCTGCTTCTCCTCCGGCTCCTGCTCCCGCTGCGCCGGAAGTCTTAAGTCCCCCAGCCGCTCCTGCGCCTCCTCCCGCCGCAGTGCCAACGCCAAGCCCCCTAGCCGCTCCTACTCCTGCTCCCACCAGCGAGCTCCCAGCCCTTCCGGGTTCCCTGCCAACTTCCCCGTCAGGCTCGATCTCTCGAAAGCCCGTCCCCACTCAGGACGCTTAATCTGAATGACCCTCACATCTGCATAGAGCCTCAGTCTTATGCAGAATATAGGCATTCCCACTGACGTGTCAGTGCCGCCGCTGGACGGAATTGAGCTTGCCTAATATGACCACACTGTTCGCCTCGATCTTGATATCCCCCTACACCCCTGCGTCCGTGACGAACGAACCCTCCTTGAATCTATGCTTTGCGCTGGATGCATATCTCCGCATCTGAATCATTTCATCAGTCTTTTGTTTTCATCTTCTGAATCTTTCGTCCGTGTGCTGGATGTCGTCTTGTCTGTGTTCCCACTGGCATCCATTTAATGTTAACAAAAGGCCGGCTGTCTTTTCATATCTACTTTTTCTTCCTTATGCCTCTTTTTTTATTGGGTTGTTTCATACCCTTTTTTTTTCTTTTTTCTCTTCGACTCGAAGTTGCAAGCATCTTCTTCGAGTTCCTTTCTTGATTGGCATCGATCTCGAATAATATGCGTGTAACGCTGAGATGAGCTGGAATACCCGGATCCTTCGACTTGTTCCAACTAGATAGTTTACACTCATAGCTATGTAGAATTTACTGGATTTTACCACTTACATGTTTTATTGAGAATCCGAGTTAATTCGCAGTAATTAACATAATTAGGATAGTTTAAACGCTAAACATATTCCGAAATACTAAGTTATTCTTATATACAAAGGGCTTAGAAACCCCATGTAAAAATGCATATTATTATCAGTTATGTTGTACATTGAAATTCCTATTTCTTGCATTTTATATTAGTTACTCCGTGGAGAGTTGTATACCACCAGAAATACCATATAATTTGATACAGTCAGATTTCTGTCAATTACTCGTAATACCGCAACCACGCGCGCGTGGTCATGCACCAGCCGATGTTTTCAGCAAATCATCATGTCATCTTGAACATGACTAAATTTTGGTCGCGGAATAAACCAGCTGGCTGACTCGGCTAATCGTTGCCATCGTGTCCAAAGATTGGCAACTGAAGTTGACACCCGAAGGCCCAGCTTTCCCCAGTTATATTCTGCGTCGGACGGCGCATACAAATCAGGTATTCCCGCTTCCATTGCATCTCGGACAAGATCCCCAAACCGTGCCTTTGCCGCTACAGGGTGTGCAAGTCATCTTTCGATTTCCGCTCCGATTTTGCTGAAGCCAGGTCCCTTTACCCAGGCAGCTCGAGCAGTCTTTGTTGTATTGTCCAGCGCCTTTGCAAGAATCACATTGTGTCATCGTGGTGGTGAGAACAGGTGAAGGTCTCGGTATAGGTTTGTACTATCAGTCGCTCTAATAGTTGTCACGTTAGTGGGGTCCAGACATTTGGCTTTTTAGATGGCAGTGTAGCTCACTGATGGAGTACAATTACCTTGAAGGCCTGAACGAAATCAACGAGGTATGAGTTGTCAGACCTCGTAGACTAGAACAGGTTTTAAAACGTGGGGTATCTTCTCTGGCCGATGGAGAGGATCAGGACATGGGCGATGATCGTCTATTTAACCGTTCGCAACCAGGTGCCATCTTCTTCGTTTATATCCATAAATAGCAGCATGTGATAGAGCGAGACAGTAACGAGGTAAGATTAGAGGCCCCCTCATTCTTAAATGTTTCCAATCAAGTCGATTCAACTCTGGCTCCTTTCGGCTTTTTGCATTATTCAGAGCACTACGCGTGGTAGAGGGTGTGCGTTGACGAGTCATGGTTTGACATGTGGTGCTAAAGTTCCCACTCGGGCTGCAGCACGAAATGGCTTGGAACTAGTGCTGATGTACAGCACATATACTGTAAATTTGACCTCTAATAAGTGAATGTCAGGCCTATTTGTTAGTTACCTCGTCACCATATTTTACCCCAGAATAATGACCCGAAGAGGTAACACCATCAAGCGATGTAGGTATTCGCAGGAAAGCCTGGCAAACCGTCACTAGAAGCGTTATTGGTTCTTAGGCCTTCATTTTTTGATTTTTTTAGAGGTAATCCTTTTCATTTTATATCAAATGGGCGTATTAAGAATCCGTTGCTCTCTCTATTTATATTGCTATTACAAATTGTATCTTTGTATAAGGGGCATATCATTTGTATCTATAGGAGTATAAAGCCAATAAATATAGACTTCTTGCCTGGCATTGAGATGTTGAACAGTTTAAAATTCATCTTTGATCATATACTTCGAGTATCTTTGCAAGAATCAATATCCCAAATACATGCTTTATATAGTTTCATACTGTACGTTTCATCATGCTTTTCTGTCAATACATTACTAGCGCGCACTGTATTCAATATAGGTGAGTCAGTCCACTTCAGAAGAAATAATTGCTGCATGTGATCGCGAAAAGTGAAGTCCATCTACAATCACGTAGATATATACATATCTCAACCTGTATCGCCATTCAACCAAAATCCGATGCAAAAAGTCTGTCATTACTCTCCTATATATCTAAAAGCCATACATATAAAAACAGTCTTAGTGAAAAGATGGAATCAAATCACACTGGCACCACGGGTATAAACGAAATCCACCAACATACACAGCCACCCTCATCTTTCAGCCACTCAAGCCTTAATCTCAGCGGCACTCTCGTCACTATCAAACTTTTTGTTCGCGTTGTGCACACTCGTACGACGGACAGCATCCTCAAGGTACTCAGGTTTGAGCTCGCCATGCTTATCGTAGCGGTATGGCGTCTTGATAGAGAGGGTAACGGCATCGAAGAAGTTAGTGGACTTCTTGAAGATGGCGTCCATCTCTTCCAGGGAACGGTAGCGAGTCTCAGGGAAGAAGAAGTATACACATGGGAACATGAATGCGTTACTGTGGTTGTTAGTTTCAAGTTCTTGGTTAATGCGGGAATTAGGGCATCTTACATAACAGCGAAGATGATATAGGTCTTGTATCCGATACTGTCGAATGCAACAGGGGTAATCATCACGACCATAAAGTTGAAGATCCAGTTAGCGCTGGTAGCCAATGCGTTTGTCGGAGCACGGATTCGAAGCGGCACGATTTCGGCGGGGTACAACCAGGTCATTCCGAGCCAGCCGATGGCGAAGAAGGTGTTGAAGACGAAAAGGAAGACGGCTTGGCCGATACCGGCTCGGCTATCTCCTAGATAGACCAAGCGGTAGTTGGTACCGGCTAGGATAGCCATTGAAATTGACATGCCGGCGGCCTAATTTCATAACTCTTGGTTAGCTGGGATATCGAAGGGTATGAGAGGGTGACATACGCCGAACAGCATCAGTGGGCGACGTCCAACTTTCTCAATGATGAAAATAGGAATGAATGCAGCCATCAGATACTCCGTGCCGTTGCAAGCGGCTAGCAACTTTGGAAGGTTGCCTTTTGCAAGACCAATCTCGGCGTACAATTGAGGTGCCTAAGGGAGCTGATTAGTATAGGGCTAATATCTCAGGGGCAAAGGGATCTCACATAGTAGGTGATGAGATTAATTCCAGAAATCTGCTGGAACATCTGGTTGACGTAGGCAAGTGCCACACGATGGAATTCTCGATACTCGCTCATCTTGAACAGACTCCTATAAGAGCCCTTGTTCATCTCAGTGACAGTTTCCTGGATGGCGAGGAGCTCGTTCTTGATATAAGGATCATCCCGAGATTTCTCATTCAGGCATTCGAGAATATCCAAGGCCTCCTCGTTACGGCCTTGCATGACAAGCCATCTGGGGGACTCGGGAAGGTTGAGAATCGAGCAGAAGATAATGATGGCGAAGATAATCTGGAAGGCTAGAGGGAATCGCCAGGCGACCTCTTTTTCTCCGATGAACGACATGCCTAATTCAGAACTATATTAGTAATTGCAACTTGGGAGTATATCACAAAGATGGGTTTCAACTCACCATAATTAATCCAGTAGCTAAGCGTGATACCTCCCGTGATAAGCATACCTTCGATCATCACCATTTTTCCTCGATCGTGGGCCTTTGCTGATTCGGATTGCCATGTCGGTACGGTACTTGTATTCATGCCGTTGCCAACACCTGTGACAATTCGGCCGATAATGAAATGAGGTAGAGAATAAGCAGTGCATTGTAGTAGAGCGCCAGTAGCCATGATCATACAGCCACAGAAAATGGTTCGTCGTCGACCGAGCGGGTTACCGATGAAGATAGTCAAGACTGCGCCGAAGAAACATCCCAGATTGTACGATGCAACTGCAATGCCTTGGTTCAAGGCGCGCTGCGATTTGACGGATCTGTGAATCTCATCCTGGATGTCTGGGTCTAGGGGATTGATCTCGGGGAAGTATTTGGTGAAGGATGGCAAGTCTAGTAGACCACCTGTGACACCTTGATCATAACCAAAAAGCCTTTGTAGCTGTTAGTTTTCAGTTTTTTTTTTTCGATAGTGAACATGGTATCATACAAAAAATCAAGACTTCCCAGAGAACTGATAGCCAAGTTGAGAGACCGGCCTCTCCAGCCAAAGTACTTCGGAATGCCGAACATGATGTCCTATGCAAAAAAAGCGAAAAACGGGGGACATGAAAATGCCGATCAGCAGGTTATATAGCCCACTTGCACATCTCCGGATTGACAAAAAGGGTAACCCGAGGTGACCGGGGTGTTCTCCAGCGTTCGGGGGTGTCTGGGGGCTAGCCAAGATACGGGGAAGGCGTCGGGCGACGCGGGGATGGGTGAAATTTCATGGGGGGTGGTATTTGGGGGCGGTTTATATGAAATGTGACTGGTTGAATGTATTAAACGCTAACTACATTTATATAGTACTCCTATGTAATTTACCGCTTTGTTTAAGTCAATTAGCTAGCGCGTGGCTTGGACATGGCGCAAGCCAAAGGAACGTGCTGAAATTGGCCAGGCGCACAGATACAAGCCCTAGGTCACGCTTTATTCCGTTTTTAGCCGATGTAATTATTTGGAACTGACACTGTCTACAACATATATAACATAATAAGAAATATATAAAAAAAAAACTAAATTTGGTTGGATAGTAAAAGACAAGGCCAAGCCAGCCAAGGCCGAGGCAACTACCCGGTAGCAAATAAGACGGGATACCCTCAAAGTGAGTGTTATAGGGCCAATAAGAACAAAGTGACTAACATCCTAGTCTCAGTTTCGATGACATGCGCCAAACACGCCAAATACGCCAGCAGGGACCCGAGCGAATGGAAGTTACTCTCAAAAGTACACAAACGCAAAATCTATATTTCAAATTGAGGCTCAGAGAATAAATGTTCCGAAACGTAAAACCCTATCATTTCCTTTGGAGGGAATAGTTGGAAATAATACCTATGTTGTATAGAGTTCTCAAGATCTCCACTGGGCTTCAGCCCTCGGATACCGGCCCATTAATATATTGAGGACGTCAGCGGCACACATGCGGCTTGCCTAGATACCTAAGGATACTCAAATTCTTAAACATTATGTTATATGCACCCGGGCTAAACTGATTGTGCCTTGCACCTGGGCATTTTTAGGGAACTTCTAACCTGACCTTGATCCTTGTATTCGAGGACTCAATTTGAACTAGCCCCTTTAACATAGCCCTTTAACATAGCCCTTTAACATTTAGTGTTTGAGTACTTATATCTTCTGTGTTGCGTCCGCCATATGCTGCCTCCTTTATCCATGACATGTACATTGAACTTTGATTATATACCACCTTATATCTCCTTAAGCTTAATCTCTACTATATTTCAGAATTCCTCCTTTATACATCTTTGTGTGATATTAGGCGACAAAATCTGAAAGTACCATCAAAATGACCACAGATACAGAGCTTCTCAGCAGTAGCCTCCGTGGTCTAAAGATTGGCAAAAATTCAACCTCTTCGGATGAGGAACCTGTCATAAAACATCCAACCAGCCTGCGCGAGCTTATAGAAAGTGTACTCCAGCCTGCGCTTCACGCTCAGCAAGACTTTGAGCCGATCGTTGCAACCCATCCTTTTTTCGAGCGGGCCAAAAAGCTCTGTCAAAAGCATGAATGGCCGATGGAACGATTCGAAAATTTTCAAAGACTGCTATGCGGGACTCGCAATTTCCCCTGTATCTTGCTTTTGAATCCAAAGAATGACCACCTTCCATTCGATGAGATGGTCAAAGGAACTCGGACTCTAATGTGCCTACGAGATGTCCTGGAAGATATCGGTCTTCAACTTGATGATGTAATAATTATGGACCTATTGCCTATGTTGACTGACGAATGGCTGGATGAACACCCCGATGAGCGCGAGCGGGTGATTCCTGAAATGTTCCAACTAACCCTTGATTGTATTCGAGAATTCAAGCTACCTATCGTCATTTCTTGTCAGTGCTTTCCCTCTTTCCGGCATGAGCGTTGGGGTTCATTCAACCATGATATGGTGTCCGATCTACGCTCATCGAAGTCAAGTGCCCAGTGCTATGAAGTTTCCAGCTTCCCTATCGGTGAACATTTGACACATTGTGCTAAAGGGTTCCATCCTGCCACGTTGTATTACGGGGAAGATGACAATAAACAGAAATTGGGCGAGGTTCTGCGTCGGATATTCCATGACTTACTTATTCCAGCCGTGCGCAGCCTGGCGAAAAGATTACAATCTGAAGTTGGAGGAAAGACTGATGCACGAAACACAGTCCATCACAAATTTGATCCGACAACTCCAGCAACATGCGGCTGAATATGACAAACTTCGCATGAGCGAAATTGCCCAGGGTATCTTTCGAAATGGTTCAAGCACACCCGAGCGATGGAATAATCCAAAGAAAGCACTAGATCTGATTCTTGAAGCGTTGTCTTCCAACACGTCAGAGAAGTCGTGTGGTTTCGAGGACTTGGTCAAAGAAGCATATCCATGAATTTCTTGAAGATTTTCAAATAGAGTGCGCTTTCGCGATATCTCCAATTTCCAGGTCATTTGCATTCATTCGCCCTTTGAGAGCAATTTAATATTGGCTTTTGCTTGTTCAACAATACACTTGTGTTCGTTGCTTAGACACTCGAAAATAGCAGACTACTTTGTTGCTTGACAGCCTCGGAACTAGACTTGGTAGACGTTTCGGTCCTTTCTTTGATGGAGCTTTATTTACTTCAAGTTTGCATGTGAAATTGGACGAATGTTGTTAGACATCTCTTTGTCTCTTCCTTGTTCTATCCTTGGATTTCCAAATTAGTCGCCCTTGTCCAAATTCGAGTCTCTTTATCTTGCCTTTGAGCCTCTTCTCTATGCACTTGTCTCCATTGTTCGCATCCTCACCGTTTTTTGTTCAACTTGGCATTATTTTAGGTGACCCTATTTTCGTGATGTTTCGTCCTTCTAAGGACTAGGAGTCAGACCTATGTTAAGCAGAAACAGAGACACTGGTCAAAAGGTATATAGCTGCGCTTGTTTCCGTCTCTTGCTCTCCATTCCAACACCATTTAACAAACACACAATACAACAGATCTTATCATTCAATTTTATTCCCGCTTCCATCAATACAATCCTTTTGAAGTATACCTTACTCTACAACAATGAAGTTTTTCTGTGTCAATCTAAATTGCTTCAAGCGCCTCCGCTGCGACTGCAGCGATGACGAGCAGGACCAGGAGGACACCTCCTCCTCATCCGCCCAATCAGCCATTTCCCTAGTTGACATGGAACCCAAGGTCGTGACGAAGCCCGTCACGCTGGCTTACCCTAAGAAGGCGGCAGACAAAGTCCCAAAGGAACTAAAAGGAAAGCCACTCAAACCGCTGAAACCATTGAAACCATTGAAACCAGGTAGAGTCCAGAAGTCACCTTCACCCAAAAAGAAGTCATCCCCCCTAAAAGGAGGGTTAGCTTTGCTCCAACTCTCCCCAAGAACCTTGAAAGCAGCAGTGATGAGCAATTCACCCCACTCCCGTCACCATTAATTGATCCTCACACGGGCATCACACCTGAAATGAGTGATGTCGATATTGACAGTTCTGAAAACAGTGATATTGACATGGAAGATACCGAGCGCCTCGGTTCGGCCTTCCCTCCAGAGGATTTGTTGGACCAGTCTCTAGAGGATTTGCTAGGCTACTCTGCGGGCCCGTCCAATAGTAGGTTCTACATCGAACGAAAGAAGACTAACATGCCGGTCCTCGACCCTGAAAGTGAATCCGAGTCCTCGAATGATGGTCACTTGTACTTTGGTTCTGCGAAGACCCGTGCTCGTGCCTCCGAACTCCCGGCAGATACCCAGGCCTCTGATAGCAGAAAGCGGGCAAATACCGAGGAGCCTGAGTCTCCAGCTAAGCGTCTGCGTCTCTTGGAGAGAGACCATACGGGGACTCTGATGGAGGAGGAGATAATGGAGTTGGGTAAGAGCTGGCCGAACCCCCCTTGGGGACAACTACCTTGGGGACAACTACCTTGGGGACCACAAGGAAGCAGAGGACCTTTGCTACCACGAGGCCAATCAGCCAAAGGAGCTTGGGGAGCATGGCCAAGTGTGAGATCTGCGAGACCAAGAGGACCTTCTGGACCCAAAATATCTTCTCCGAGACTACTCCCTTCTCCGATGGGCTCACAATCCAGTGACGATGGTTCTTTCCACACGCTTGAGGACTTGTATCACGAGCCTACGGATGCAGAACTCGCCGTTTACCGAGCAAAAGGTGCTCAACTGATAGCTTGGTTAGAAGACCCGAACGAACCAGGCTGCAACATTGCCCCAACAACGGCCTCCCTGGATGACTTGCTCAACGCCACGCCGCCAGATCATTTCGAAATCGGTGACGCTCATTTTACAAATCCGGGCGATGTTATGCTGGGAGGCGAACCGGAGACGGTGGGGCTCATTCCCTATGGTTCCCGTTACCGCCGTGTAGCGATTTCAAGCAAGGTCACGAACCAGGCAGTTCTAGAGGCAGCTGGTCGTGATCACGCAAATAATAGCTACAATCATCTAACCGGACCGGGACTTCTTGTGGCCTATGCCATTTTTAGGTACGATAACGTTCAGTGGAATGTGGCCGCTAGGGCCGTATACAAGCTAGACTATGATATGGAAACTTTGAAGTATATCATGTTCCACCACGTCGTCAATGAGGAAACTCAGCCGTATATTCTTCGGGTCATCTACCCCAGACGTGGACTTGAGTTTGATAAGTCGAGCGAGGCGCCATGTCTGAAAGTCGAACGTGGCACCCGTGAGTTTGAAGAACTGCTCGGCACAAAGTTGGGCAAAGCAGCTGCCATCCTTCTCATATCAGCTCTCCCCAGAGGTACGAGACGTATCGCTCGAGCAGTCATTTGGAATTCTGTTTACAAAGTTCAGGTAAGATTCGAGCTTGAGCCCTGTGATCCAAATGAGGTGATACCTGAAGTTCGTCTACCACCACCAAATTCCGAAACTCAAGAACGTGAAGCGGCTTTTGACCTTGCATCATATTTTGGTCCTCAAGCATATACTGGTACTGAAACAGTTGTTGCAGAGGAAGAAGTTGAAGATTCTGGAGATTCTGATGAATATGCAGGAAGCGAATATTGGCAGGAATGATTTACTTACAGAGAGTATTTAGGCACCTGTCTCATGTTGGGGCGTATTTTGTTATTTTGGCGTTTTGAACGGAGCAAACAACTACATATATGGAGTATACAATACATTTATTTTACACGAAGACAATACAAATTAATAGTACTCTCGCAATCATATAAGGATAAAGGATAACAAGAATACCATCTATTCCCACTGCACATCACAATGGTAACCAAACCTCTTTCGATGAAACTATATGGAATGAGAGAGTTAGCTTCTTGATAGCTATAGTATTTAAATAAAACCATCAACAATCCTAGGAATCCTCAGGCGCAAGCTTTGATAATCCCCGTAGCTTTGGGCCATACTTCATAAACAAGAAGGGTACTGGCAATAGAACCGCAGCTACAGCTCCAACAATTGAAACAGCAGGCCCTATCCCCAAAGCTTTAATCATCGGTTTGGCCGCCAAGGGAAGTCCGGCAGCCAGCAAACTTCGAAGAAATGTAACAGCCGCCGTTGAGCTAGCAGCATAGATCTTATATACATCAATCAAAAAATTCAAACACTGTTGGAAAATGCAGTTGAATCCAAACCCTATAAAGACAGCCGCCAGACATGGCAGGATCCAGTGGTGAGGTGGTTCAGCGGTCCAAGCAAACCAGAAAAGCCCTACAACAAAGAATACTGCCCCGAATGCCATAGGTGGAAGTCGTGCTTCGGGCACTGCTTTCCCATTTGCCTCTCTGGATATTTGGTTATAGCGGTATTGATTCCAGATATTGAGACCAACCGAGGATATGACACCAATCAATAATCCCAAGAACGGTAAAGAGCCGACAAGGTGGTTCCAACCTCGTGATTGCTGGAATGCAATTGGAAATACCTCCAGAGTTAGGTACATGACACCGTAGACAAAGGAAGCATAGAAGGCAATACAGGTGACAATCGGCTCAGTGAACAGCATTCTCAATGGACGGGCGAGCTGCTTCGTGAGAACGGATTTGACATCGAGTTTCAAATGTTCATGGGGATGATAAAATCTCGAATCATTAGTGTCCTTCCGAAGCTGCTGTGCTTTCCGCTTGAGCAGAACAAGCGGGTATACCTCTGGCAAGCAGAAGAAGGTCAAGGTGAAAACGATAAAGACCCAGATGGCGTGGATGTACGCAGTCCAGCGCCAGCCCATATTAGGATTCGACATGAGCGCTGCGCCAATCACTGGACCTAGGGCTGGACCGCCGTTCACTGCCACCGAATAGAGACTGACTGCGGTCCCGCGCGTCTCTTTACTCCATATATCACCTAGGGCGGCGGTGACATTGCTAATGGGAGCAGAGCCGAAAAAGCCGGCGAAAAAGCGCGTGACGAAAACCGAGGCTGCATTTGTGCTTAGACCAGTGCCGATGGAGAATAATGCTAGACAAAATACGGCGGGGAGTATGCTGATTCTTCGGCCACAGATTTCTGAAAGAGGGGCCCAGATGATAGGTCCGAAGACGAAGCCAAGGCTGGGATTACTATTAGCATTGTCGCTATTGTTTTGTGTAAAGTATCACTTACATATACAGGGACACATCCAAAACGGCAACCTCGCTGCTCACGCCAGTATACTTTGCGATGGTGTCATCGGCCGGCGTGGTGATGCTTGACCCTAGACTACCGGCCAATGCAAGCATGCCCAGTTGGAATGTCACCCACCATTTGTACCTGGGAGTCCAATTCTGGGGATTCAGTACATCGTCCTGATCCCACCTGACGAGATATGCCGGATCAAGGAATGCCGGATCCTTTTCGGCCTCGGGTTGTACATTTATAAGACTGCCCTTCGGCCATATGCGGGCCATAATTGGGATTAATACTGTGGGTAGTACGTACTGCTACTCTCGTGGACAATGATATATGTAGCAGGATATTTCTTCGGTTAATCGATGTTGATGCCGATCCCGATGTCGGAGAAAGCCTCGGATCGCTTCAAAACATGGTTGACAATATTGTCGATGGTGATACGGAATCCATTTGAAAATTTCCTATCCTTCAACATCTCGGAGATAGTGGATTCTGCTTGGTAATCCCGAATTGGTGCAGGGAAGTGAAGCTTCGAACCATTCTCGGATTTTCGGCCTTTCATTATCGGCCGGAGCCGGCCTGCAGTGTGAGCACAGGGACTTACCAGGACCCTTCTAATTTATTATTGAAATGAACAAAGAGGTCAGCTTAAGGATAAAAGGCAAAAGGGTACCGAGCCATGATATGGCTTCCAAGGTTGTGATAGCACGGGCCTTTCCTATATTCCTCAACTGTACCTGGAGTGTACAACTTCTGAGAAAGTCCTAGATATGTGGAATAAATAGGATCAATTTAAAGCCAGCAGTAATATGACGCAGGCCATACTTAGGAAGACGCAGTGTATTGAAAATCATAAAAAGTCCCGAAAAAAGTCCCGAAATCCAATTAGAATTGTCCAAGAGCATCATCTCTAAATCTAATACGCGCTTATAGTCATAAAAAGTGCAGAATATGTATGGTGCTGAGAGCATTTGCTCATCCTTTTCCTGATCCGAGATGTGGAACGCGTGCACTTGCAAGAAGAAGATTCACAATGCTCATGATACCTTCACCCAAAATGAGGCCGGATGCAAGGACAACGATAGTCGACGAGGCGGCATCTTCTTTTTCAGATGTCTGCTCGGTTGATGTTGATACTCTTTGCCCAACAGGCAGTTCAGCATCTGTAGGAGATCCCATGCTAGTGGAATCTCCATTGGGGATTTGGTGATTGGCCCTTGATTTGGAGTGCTTGCGCGACCACCACCATGCAATAATACCACCAATAGCTCTCGCTAGGGTAAATGAAGGCTCATTAAAGATACCAACGGCAACTGCAATACCGCCGGGAATCCAAGCTCTCCAAGCAGGGGGTTTCCCGTTGCGTGCAAAGGAAGGGGACGCAGCTGCGATCCTCAGTGCGGTAAGGAATGCCCACACGATACCAGCAATGAAAGATGCTTGTCCAGCCATTATGGGCAGCCCTTGACCAGTCACAAGACGAGCAGTGAAAATCCAGACATACGCGGTAGGTGTCTGGAACATTTCGCCCGGTACCTCGTAGACGTTCACGTACAATTTGTATACAGCAGTTGATAGAACTGCGCCCACAATACTACCGATTATCTGCCCATAGAACTGGGCCTTGGGGCTTGCACCGAGGAGATGACCGGTCTTTAAATCTTGCATCATATCACCGGCTTGCAGAGCTCCTGACTCTGACACTGCACCCGCGAGCAGGTTGGTCACAAGTGCAGTGCGTCTGGAGTAATGGGACGCTGGCGTGGCAAGTGAAAAGAGAAGTTGTGTCAGCTTGCTGATACCCGAAACTGGATTGAGGTCAGTCTCGCCAAGAGCCCGGACACCCATAATGGACAGGAGCACTGCCAGCAGAGTCGCTAATGTCGATAGAAAGGGGGAAATGATGTCACCGAAGGCAAAGTGCATGCATACGACATTCAGAAGGAGGGTCAGGGGAAGCAGAATCACCACTGTGCGAGTTGAGATGAGTTGAGATGGCGGTGCATCTTCCTCTTCCTCTTCTTCGCTTGTAGTTATCTGTGTGTTGTGGAGGTCATCGTTTTCATGAGATAAAAGATGAGACTCTGACTCCAAAGCGGAGTAGTTGATATAAGAGTGCTGAGAAGATTGCAGTCGAAGTGCAATCCACTGACCAGCGCGAGTGGATCGGACCCATGCTATCCATCTTGGAGAGTTATTCATGATGGGCTTGACCACCAGCCAACCAAGACTAACAAGCGAATCGGCAAGCATAATAGCTAGCGAGATCCAGACAATCCACGCTTTGCTGCCCTCTTCCTCCCAGCTATCCACCGGACCGGGAGCCCAGCCGCGGGTCTTGGCCAGCGGTGATAGGACGCCCCACCCTAAGACTGCCCCGAAAAGCATATGCATGCACGTTGATGGGCCCATAATGATACCTTGACCGATGTATGCGGGTGACGGGTTAAGTGTCCATAGCCAGTTGCGCTTCATGCTCGCGCCAAACAGAGGGATATCACGGACTATAGGGACGAAGTAAGAGAAAAGAGTCTACCTTTGTTAGCATGAACTTTGCAGAGTCTAATATGGGGGTATTCACATATACACCCGACAATGTAAACGCTCCAACCAAGAGGCGCATCTTCGAGCGCCAATCTTGCTCCTTGGAAGCTTGATCTTCGGCATCGCCATCTTTCAAGAGGCGTGAGTCTTCTTGCCATTGACTAGCAGGCTCGGACTCTGTATTCAGAATCCCCGCACGGGCATTCTCTGGTGCTATGGTCTTTTCTTTGCTACCGGAACCATGCAAGACCTTGAGCATCAATGCCGAGGCGGTACCACTCGGAAACCGCAACTTCTCTCGGACGATGACCTCTTTTCGTAGTGGAACCGCAAACACCACCCCAAAGAGACAAACTCCCAGACTCCAGATGACCAACTTCCAGAAGCCGAGTTTCAAAGGACCTCCTTCGCCTTCTCCGCCATCGCCTTCAGGTCCATCTTCGCCAGGCTTCAACAGAAACTCCAGAGCAGGGATGACGCCAACAAATCCGCATCCAAGTGGCATCGTTCCCACTGCACCGGCAACCGTTTGTATCAAAACATTCTCAATCGGTGTGAAGGGGAAAGACAGGTACTTGGATAGAACCTTGAAGACCGAGAAGCCAATCAAGGCGGAAGGCATGGCCATTGTGCTGATCCATCCTGTCTGCAAGCCGAAGTAGGTATTCGAGAATGTGATGAGGGCACCAATAATAAGACCGACGAGAAGTGAGCGCGGAGTGAAGCTCTGAGGGGATGTGGCGGGAGCTTGGTGGTTTGTTGTGGGATCATCGATGGGATCTATAGGTGGATGGTCCAAGGATGGCCTTTCCACAGTGCGCTGGCGCTGTTCTGAGGCATTGCCTTCCATACTGATGGCCTGATAATTCATGAGACCGAGCGATCAGTCATAGTGTAAGTGAATGTTTGGGGGAAGTCTAACCTGGGGGGACTGGTGGATTGATAAGCGCTCGCTGATTAATGCGACTTCTCGATAAGATCACCTGACGTCACACTCATTATCAGTAATTTGTCCTTGGTGTTTCCTGTTATTCACTGAACTCCATAGGCTTGTTTAACTATTTTTAAGGGAATAGAATCTGAATATCTCGAGAACGGACATTTATTTGAAGACTTTCAAGGCCCATCAGTTGCTCAGGCAATCTAGAAAACAAAAAGCTGGCAAAACAACTCTATGATACTTCAACCAAGCAAAAAATTGCCAAGCCCTACTCCGTAGTGATAGTGTATCTCCATACCAATTCCACCTGGGCAGTGTGCTCCGTTGCGTGATAATCTGATCTATGAAACAAATAAGTTATAGCGGGGTCTAAACCTAATTGGGATCAAGACGACGGGATCTAAACCCAAACGGGAACTGTATCATTGGCTCCTTCTAAGGTAATATTTACTCCTATACAGCCTTTGCTCCTTCCTATTTTATAGCTCTTTTCTCTTCCTCTCCTCCCTTTTTCCTTTTCTCTTTTCATCTTCTTTCCTTTCCTTTTCTCCCTCTTCTTTCTTCTGTATCGGTTGTCACTATTCTTTGATCGTAAGTGTACATTGTTTGGAGTTCCTTGGTTTTCTATCAACTCAATTAATATCATATTTCAAGTTCTCAAGATGGACGAGCAAGTCAAGTCTCGCCGAAAGCATGACAGCCCGACGATTGCCGGCCACGCAATCTCCCGTGCGGACTTCAAGCAAGCGCAAGTCGCTGGTGGATGGATACCCGGCATGGATATCAAAGTGGACTACTCAGATGAGTTCGAATTCGGTGGTTCACTCGGGGCCTTGGCACTTATGATTGGCTTCCCACTGCTCATGTGGTACATGTGGATCGGCGCCACCTATTATGATGGGAAGCTACCTCTGCCAAAAGACGGAGAGACCTGGACGGACTTTGGAAAGCATCTTTGTCACCTTGTTTACACCGGTGCATTTCCGCACTTCAGGGCGTGGCGCATCTACTGGACGTACTATATCTTCGAGGCAGCATGCTACCTCCTCATGCCTGGATACAAGTGCCATGGGAAGCCTCTTCGCCATCTGGGAGGCAGGGAGCTGGAGTATTATTGCTCAGCCTACACCAGCTTGTACTTCACAATCCTTGTCATGGCTGTTCTGCACTGCACTGGACTGTTCCCAATCTACACTATCTTGGATGAGTTCGGTCCTCTGATGTCTGTGGCAATTCTTTCCGGGTTTCTCGTCAGCTTTGTCGCTTATTTCTCTGCATTTGCTCGGGGTGCCGAGCATCGTATCACTGGTTACCCAATCTATGATTTCTTCATGGGAGCCGAACTGAACCCACGTTTGTTCGGGATCCTAGACTTTAAGATGTTCTATGAAGTCCGTATCCCATGGTTCATGCTCTTGGGTTTGAGCTGCGCGGCTGCCACTCGCCAATATGAGCTCTACGGATACGTCTCTGGTGAGGTACTGTTCCTTCTCATGGCGCATTTCCTCTATGCCAATGCCTGCGCCAAGGCAGAACACCTCATCACCACAACATGGGACATGTACCAGGAGAAACTAGGATTCCTCTTGATCTTCTGGAACATGGCTGGTGTCCCTATGTCTTACTGTCACTGCATTCTGTACCTGGCTAGTCGCCACCCATCGACATATGCCTGGAACAAAGAGGTATTAGCGCTATTTTTTGTGTCATATCTTTGCGTCTACTGGGTCTGGGACACTGCAAACAGCCAGAAGAACGCCTTCCGTATGGCGGAGCAAGGCAAATCGGCGAAGCGCAACACGTTCCCCCAGCTGCCTTGGCGACATGTTTACAACCCAAAGACACTTGTCTCGGAGAAAGGCGATACTATCTTTGTTGATGGGTGGTACGGATTGGCTCGCAAGATCCATTACAGCTGCGATATGTTTTTCGCTTTGTCGTGGGCACTGATCACTGGGTTCGATAGTCCCCTGCCCTGGTTCTACCCTATCTTCTTTGCGGTCATGATCGGCCACCGTGCCATGAGAGATATCCACAAATGCAAAAGCAAGTATGGGAAAACGTGGGATGAGTACGAGAAGCAGGTTCCATACCTCTTCATTCCGGTGAGTTCTTGCTACAACTTTTCTTCTGAAACTATATACTCACTCCTGACAGTATGTGCTCTAAGTAGCTCTGACTTATGGGCTCCCATGGTTGTGGGTCGTTTCTGGTCCACTGCTGCCCCTTGTCTACAACAGCGAATTCTCTATCACTGCCTACAGAGCTAATAGCTAGAAATCATCTTTACTTTCAAATTTTCCAGTTCAAAAGAAATTGGGTATCATATAAATGTTGAATAAATCTGTAGGAATCCAGCCATAGGGGGGAGAAGAGAGAAAGAGGCCTCTTCTCTTGGGGTCACCTACAGAAACAGAGTACCTCTGCAATGGGAACTGCGCACATGAGATTTTGATATATGTTAATTTACCCGGAATATCTTCGGACCGTGGAGCTAGAAATCCCACACAAAAGCGCATAGATGGATTGCGGAGCGAAGCGGAGCAATTAAATCATAAGTCATGTTATCTGAAACTCATTATTTTTTTGTCGACTGTTATAATAGATAGAGACATATCACTAAATTTACCATTGGTGTACTGCCAGATTTCTGTCAGAGATGCTACAACTTTATACGACTAAACAAAATATTCGGGCCTAATATGTATATGAGGTGCTTAAGTATTTTTTGTATGGGAAACTCATACAAAAGATACATACTTTCTAGATTTCGGATCTAGTGAAAATTTTGGATTTTTATATTTGATTTCTCTTGATGACACCAAACTGTCTCCAGCCCACCACTCCAACATGGACCCCAAAATGGCTTTCCACGTCAAGCTCTATGCATCATCAGATCTTCTCAACCAGCCCTGGATCTCAGATCTCACATACATGGTGAACGCCAGCTACCGTGTCAGTCACACCACCAAAATAAAGTTCGCCTCGACCAAGACCCGGCTACAATCCGACTCCGCATTATCCGAGGAGCTCGGTGAACACGCCTTCACCGCAGTGGCGCTTGTTGGAGATGGAAAAGATCAAAAGATCGAAGTGATCGGGACCGCAAGTATGAAAAAATGGAAAGATGACGGCCTTTGGACGCCTACCACCAAAGACGGGCAGGAGCATGAGGACACATCCAATAATGGATGTGTTGATCAAATTCTGCACCGACGTGCCTGTCCCGGCGACTATGAATTGGCTGTTGTTGCTCTCCCGCCCGATCCACAATACCGCGGCAAGGGTATTGCTGGGCATCTTGTGAAGGCATGTGAAGAAGAGATTTTGCGGCGGCATCAGGCCAATGGGAAGGATGTGTCGTCTCCAGTACGCATTATGATTCGGGTTACTAAAGAAGACACTGGTGCCTACTGGTTGAAACAGGGGTTCACTGTTGTTGGTAGTCAGTTGTGTCCTAAGGGGTTCTGGAATTCGTTGGAGGAGTTTACTATGTGGGCTATGATGCGAGAGTTGTCAACGATATAAATGGTGGTTGAATGTTACTATGGCGGGGACATAAAGAAAATACATGTACATACTATCTATTTCCATATATACCTACGTACCCCTCGCTCCAGGTCCTTTCAATCTCCTCTACGCTTTGTGGGTACAGTTGTAACAAATGAACGTCGTATTTCAAATTATCTTGTCTAATCATACAGGCTTCAAAATCCGAAGTTCTTTTGGACCTCATTTTTCACGACAATCAATCTTGCTTGAGGTGATGTCTCTTCAAGGAAAAAGGGCTCGGGGGCGGTCCATATATCCCAGCGAGAAGATACGGGCTAGGGTTTGATCATGAATTCCACAACGTGTAGTCCTCTCCCGGATCGAATCATCTTATCATGGATAATCATGTCAAAGTCCCCCCATGTTCTGGCTATGGTGATCGAGACTGGATAAGATGTGTTTTGGGGGGTTCCAAAGAAAGAAACGGATTCTGAGTATCGCCAGGGATCAGAACCTTGTCGTTGATATTCCATTGCGTGCATTAGACTTTCAACAACGGGTTCTCCTTCGTTAATAACAAAGATTATGAGATTGAGGTTTTTGTCGATAATGGCTCTGAGGTCATTTTGGGCCTTTTGGAAACCCCTCTCTCCTTCAAAGAGAATTGTTCGTCCGTGTGAGAGCAGGTAGTGTGGTTTGGCAAGGCTTTGTTGCGCCAGAGTAACACCCATGGCGACAGCAAGCATGTATCCGGGTAATCCTCGGGCACCAGGATTGATCAGAGTTGTATCCCGCGGCAAAACAAAAGAGCGTGCTCCATCCTGGGCTGTTTTGGTTTCAGTCAAGATGATGTCATGCGGACGGAAGAAAACAGACATCCGTCGCCGAAATGTGGAATAAATGCCATGTTGAAGTGGTGCGGTCGCTTCCTGAAGCGGAACCATTTCAATGCTGTTGCGGACATTAGGCAAATCTGGATATGTCCTAAGATCACGCAGCTCCCTCTCGTCTATGCAGTTCAAAATCTGCTGAAGCACAGGTCTAGAAAAGAGCTCGTATTTTTGGTCCCCAATGACAACAGAACACCTGTTGAATGTGACGGTTTCTGCTGTCTTTGCCTCGAACACGGCAAGATTGGCCCACTCAGTTGTATTCAGAGGTCCAATGCGGAGAATTAAGTCGCAAGATCTGAAGTATAAACCGTACATGTCGAAATCCGAAATATCCCCATGGAAGTTTTTGAGTGATTCATCCACAACACCTCTGCTGAACTGGGTCGCAGCAGTTGGAAATTTAGTCTTCTTCGCTAGCTGGTTTGCTTCCTTAATAAGACCACAGGATGGAACACCCGCATCCGCGAGAATCACTGGTCGTTCTGCACGCTTAATCTTGTTCATGATACTGGCAACTACCCTTATCTCCATCTCAGTATCGTGGGGCGGAGTATTGAAATCCAAGCACTGAACAAGTCCCTTGGCCGGTGCCATACGGTTGACCAGATCTTCAGGCAATCCGATGCAAACAGGGAGAGACTGCATGATACATTGTCGAATGGCGGTATCAATCTGGGTAGTCGCCTCGCTGGGGTGAACAAGAAACTCCTGGATGATGGTGATCTTCTCGAACCAATCAGCGAGTATTTGTGAATCTTCAGGATGTTAAGTAACACCAGGCTGCGCGTCGAAGAATGAATGACAGAATTTGGAATCCTGAGCGTGCGTCCTGCACTGGGGGGTAACAATCACAAGCACAACTGGGATTCTATCATGGTACGAGGCAGCGATTGCCATCGAGACTGTCGATGGCATATTCTCGAATGAGGTCATCAGAGCGGCGATGCCCTTGACTCGTGCATATCCATTTGCAGCAAGTCCAGCACTAAGGTCGCTATGGTGTGCGACCCATTCAAGCCCTGCACCTGCGGCTTCTCTCCATACTGCAATGTTGTGATTTCCGGGGACGCCATGCACGGCGTGCAGGCCAACTTGCTGAAGGCGTTTGAAATGGTACCCTGCGATGGTGATATCATTGGACACGTCGGACATGGTGAACAGTCGCAAGGCGCTTTGGGGTTGAAAGGCGTGGGCTGCCAGAGACAAATAGAGGATAGGATAGTAAACAAACGGATAGCGCTCTTCTAGTCCGAGGAAAGAAGTTTCAACATAGAAGTGCCCGATACACCAGGTGTTGGTCAAATTTGCTAGTGACGATTAATAGAGAATTTGAGTGGTGATAACAAACGGGTTGGGGTTGCCTGGGAAGCAATAGGGAAGTGAAAGAGAGAGAGAGACTTACTGAGATAGGTAAAGTGCAGAGATCAACTTATGACTGGAAAATACGTCTCAGTCATGCTCTGCCTTGAATTGATTAGAGCATAAGTGAGAGGGAATTTAGAGAAGGGAGAGAACATAAAAATAGTCGAGCGCGGAGGACTGGAGATTACAGATGTATATGATAGCTAAAAATCGTATATTTTATGATTTATTTACTATGTTTATCATATCGGCTTTGCACGGCTTGCTGTCATGTATCGATTCTTTTTATGTGGCCGTTGGTCCTTTTGTGTTGATTTAGTACATAGTCTTCATTGTGGTACCCTAGACACGTATAACATTTTCCCCACAGTTGAACTATATTTGTTCCCAAGTATACAGATCATTTAATATGTAGGAATTTCAGTCTCATCCCTTTTTTTCCCCGTTTCTGTAGACTTCTTTTGGAAGATTATGGTACTCTCAATGCTTCGGCAAATGAGGATGGGAAATCCCAGCCACTCTTACTAGTTAAGCGTGATAAAGTAAGCCCCGAGGGCTCCTCTTAATCGAGGAGTGATCTTCAAGCGGGAAAGTATAAATTATGGGAGATTCAACGGGCTCAACACATTTCTCGTGAATCTCGAATCACAGGTCTATGAGTGTGATAGATGCCAAGATATATATTCAGGAGAACACGTAATCATTCGACCAATAAGCAGCTGGAACGCTTTTACGGCCCTGGTTTATGCATTTGATGTATTCAAACAATAAGTATTCCGTGTCACCGAAGAAAGATTTTCAGACCAGAAAGGGTCCTTTGTTAGCATTGAAATCCATACGGAGTACGAAGTAGATCCAACCGTTTAGGGCCAGGGGGACCCGTGGACCTCGGAAGCCTTGACTAATCACGATATCACGTGCCCGGATGTTGGCCTCGGCCCCCAACAACAGGGGAATTCAAGATGGCTGTCATCTATGATCAGCAACTTGGTTTTGAGACTCGTCAATTCAGGTGAACTTAGGCTTGCCATTCCATTCCTTTTGACACCTTCTGTTTCTCTTTAAATGTTGTTTGACCAAGTCTGCCTGATTCCGATCCATCCCATCTCCTAAGACACCTATAGATGAACCGGAGTATATCCTAGTCAAACCGTGTCAGGCTACCTGTACGAAATCACCGGACGATCTTTCCTGTGCTTGTTTTCCTCTGGCGGCTGGCTCAATTTCCAGGGGTTCCATTATGGAGAATACACGCGAGATACTAGCAGGCGTAATGTCGCTCGCCTCATGGAGGAACCTGGCCTTGCTTCTGGCAGTGATTAACTTGAAAAGTCTCCCATTTGTCTGGCATGTAAGTGTTCCTTGGCCCCTTGTTCAGTCGTCAGGATCGGCTTCCTCTCCAATATATGCTACACTACTGACCGAGTCAACAGTTCCGCCTGCTGTATCACTTCTTTGGCAACCTGCGTTTGAAACCCAGTATGCCACTTCTCCCCAAGGGGAGAGTTATTGTGGACTCCCGAGGCAAACCAACACATCCCCTCTTCGTGCCATGCATGGTCACATCTCGCACACCGTTGCTAGAGACTGATTACAATTTGCACAAATCCAACAGCACTTACTTCACGGATCTGGACGTTTCGCGTACAGCGCTCGTGAGCCGAATTTACAGTCCTGGAGTTGGTAATGTGAGCAAGGAGCTAGATCAGGAGTTCCTAGCCGCAAGCAAGAAAGATGGAAAGCCGGCGCCCAGGCGCAAGCCGGTTTTGATTGTGCTCGGATCTGTTTACTGCACATTCAAGCGCGAAATCAAGCCATACGAACTATATGAGATGCACTCCAAGGTGCTCTCTTGGGATGCAAAGTGGCTGTACGTCTTGACCTGCTTCATGAGACCTGCACGCCGCAGTGGCGGTGAAAAAGTGATCCTTGCTGTGGGCGTTAGCAAGTATGTGGTCAAAAAGGGCCGGCTGACTGTTCCCCCGGTGCGGATTTTGCGCGCTAGCGGGTTCCTCCCCGCGCCGCCCCCGGAAAGCGAAGCCAAGACCACACTAGCCGACGTTGACTCCTCGGCTGAGGCTTCCGGCGTTGATACACCTGGTAATGGCGAAGGTATCACGGCCACGGGAGGCGTGGATGGATCCTTGGTTCAGGAGGTATTGAAGATGAACGACGACCAGATTCCTGCCCAGGAGACATTGGATCAGCAGCAGAAGGAGAATACTGACTCCTGGAATGTCGAAGAGTGGACCTGGGAGCGCATTGAACAGGAACGCCTGCGGGGACTGGAGGTTGTTGCTGGATATACTAATATGGATGCTAAGCTTTTTGATGAATGGGTGCAATAATTTTGATGAACTACAACATAGATAGCCAGTGATCATACAGAGGGTGATCCAAGCGCCTTGATGACCTCAATGTTCTCACTAATATTAGATCTTAAAGATCCCAAACAATCGTCATACATCCACAGATCTGCAATTTAATTTCCAAAAATGACCGACGTGGTCCACCTATGTATTTTTCTTTACATCCGCGCTAGATGCATTGTATAAAATATGTACATATACTTTTGCATATACGTTATATGTCACCTGGCTGTAGGCACAGAGATGCACTATACCTAGGTACATAATGTACGGACGATGTGCATCCTGTGCAACCAGGGAACCTTCCAAGGAACCTGAACGAACTGACTAACCAATCGCAGAGCCTCACCGGACCCGGAACTTTATTTTCCCGGGCTAATATTGGAAGACGATGGGAAGATGTGAGACTAAGAATAATGCCAGGAGATCGGAATCAGAACTTACATTGCACCTATGTAATCCGTATGCTATATGTAGGATACAAATCCTTTGAATCAACACCTGCAGTTATGAATGCTGATCACTGATCTCATCAAGGGGGTCCGATGCTATCCGAGATAGGCTGAGCATTGTATTGTATGACTTGTAACAATACTAGACGTGTTTCGGTATAAAGTGGATGCGGAATTCAGTAAATAACGGTAAATTAATAAGTGACATGGAGATCACATAATCTTAAATTACATATATGTCATGTGACCCAGCGAAAGCTTCAAGGTGCTTTGACCAAGCTCTATCTTAACCATCGTGATACCACCTTTGCTTCTTTTCATTTATAGTTTCATTAGGCGTTAACCAGTGATTTGGTAAGTTTGAACCTGTTTGCGATCAATCCCTGAAACCCAACCCTTTTACCCGAAACCGGATACGGAGTACGGTACAAATCATTAGGCGCCCAGGCCAAAGTCGACAGTCCACTTTACTCTCTGATCGGACGATTCCCACCCTTCCCATCTTAGCGTTCTGATTTGTCCAATTTCAAGCCCATCATTCCTCACCCTGTGCCCACCTGCCCCTGCCTTTCTTTTCAGTATCAGCCCATTGTTGAACTCCACCTTCAAGCGTCGCCGGCACCTGCATGATTGGCCTATTTCTGGTACTGTTACCTTTTCCATGGAGAACCTAGTGCTTTTGCAGTTTTATGGCATCTTTTGTTTTTAAGGGTTCCCTCTGATTATATCAACTTGTTCTCGTCTTTTGTCTCGCAAGCCCTTGTCTTTTTTTTCGCTGGTGACTTGACTAAGACATTTTGCCTTTTTCGTTCAGTTTAGGCAAAAACAATCATCCGAAGGAGCTTATCGCAATCGTTTCAACTACCTCCGTTGTACACTCCTTAAGTGTACCGACGACCCTTACACCACCAATACTGGTGCCCTTTGACCACAACAATATCGCATTTCTTTTCGCTCGGTCGCAGCTCCTGTTCCCAATTTCCCCGACCGCTGGGAAATACTCCCTTCTCGCCGTCGATCAGCGGTCGCACTATCCGACGACGGCAACTACCATCTACTGAACCCTTTCCCCAACCTCCCTCTGTCGCCCTCGATGATGGCGACAGTACTCGACCAGTCGCAGCGCGACTCACTTGGAGGCGAGCCCGTCGTCGAATCCGTCTCCATCACTCCGCCGCAGAGTGCGAACGGCAAGAAGGAAGCGCCCGAAGGCGTGCCCTCCGAGTTATCTGACCTCGAGCTTGACCACCAATCTGCACCGGCACCCGATACAACCAAGATCAAGCAAGAGGAAGCGGAGGAGAAAGTCGAGGAAATCGAAGAAATTGAACCCGATCATTATTATGGCGGCGGCAAGGTTCCTGTTTTTAAGCCAGTGAGTACAGCCCGAATGCCCCGGCTGCTCGATGACCCGGGGTTGGAGATTTTGCGTCTTCTATCAGACTGGGCAGCAAAGCCTACACCCTGTAGAGCCAGGCTGACTGTTCTTTGTTTTAGACAATGGATCAATTCCGGGACTTCCAGGGCTTCATCAACAAAATCAATAAATATGGAATGCAGGCAGGCATCGTGAAAGTTATCCCTCCAAAAGAATGGTGAGTCGATCAACTTACGGCTAGTGTGGATGGCTGTGCTCATGACGTTCTTTTCAAAGGTCCGAGTCTCTTCCACCGCTGGATGAGGCAGTCAAGAAAATTCGAGTGAAGAACCCCATCATGCAAGAGTTCCACGGATCCCACGGTACATACACCCAAGCCAACATCGAACGCCAACGCTCGTATAACCTTCCTCAGTGGAAGGGTCTGTGTGAAGAAAGCAGCCACCAACCCCCGGCTCGCCGAGGAGAGAGACGCCGAAACCAAGAACGCGTGAACCGTGCGGCCCCGACCCCGCGGCCCCCCTCTGCCCGCCCCGAGGGTCAGAAGCGCCGACCTGGCCGTCCACCTAAGCGGACCAATAAGGTCAAAGA